TATTTGCTGAGTTCCCTCTGCCTTCTCCTCTTTTCGCCTTATCCGTCTATACTGTTTGTCACTTTGCTTTCTCTCAGCACCTTTCGCTCTCTTCAGCCGCACTGCCTCAGGTAATTTTAACCAACGTCCTTCCAGCTTCTACCTAGTTCCTGTCCCATGTTGTCTCCTTGGGCTTACTTGGTCCATCTAAATCCTAGAGTAAGGGTCTATATTTTCCTGTTTGTTTTTGTGTGCAATCCTGGGGCTGGGCACTTGTCCCTGAGATTATTTTTTCTGCTCAAGACTAGTGATTTAATACTTGAGCACAGCTCTATGTCTAGCTTTTTGGTGTTTAACTGGAGACAAGAGTCTCACGGACTTTCCTGCCCAGGCTGGAGCCTCCTGAGTAGCAGAAATTATAGACACAAGCCACCAGCACCCAGCAGGAGACTCCTCTGTATTCAAGTTCCAAATCCTCATATTTCAGGAAAACTCAGATTAAACTTTAGTCAGCTCTGACTTACATAAAGTTCTGAAAACCTCAGGTAACAAACACATAGAAAAACACAGATATGATCAAATTTCCCTTCATTATCACCTTTCTAAAAGGCCCTAATAAATTTATTGTTTCACCATTTATTTAAAGCCAGCAAAAATGAACTTTAAACGTTTAGGGAAGCTAAGGCTGGGAGGCTGCCCGGTGCCTTTCCCCACATGCCATATGATGTGACTGAGATAGGCCATAACATAGGCAGGTTACTCACGGTTTTCATCCACCTGACACTATGAGAGGCTCAAGGGTTATAATGGGATTCAGGCAGGGCCGATCAGATGGTTCCTAGCACTGAGATACCACCAATACTCAGAGAAAGAACTGTTCTGTTTCCACGTGAGTTAATCTGTGATGCTGACTGCATGATACACCTAGAGAGTACCTACCTGGCTTTCTCCTAAGATGTGAGATGGTCTCTGAGGTACCAGCTTAGATATTTCTAAAATTTTAGCAGTTAACCACATAATGCCAGCCTGCATTTTATCTTTTCCCAGAAGTAATTTCTTAGTTTCAAAATGCATTGCCATCTAGAAAGACTGGAAATGAGAAGGTGTGTGTGTGTGTGTGTGTGTGTGTGTGTGTGTGTGTGTGTGTGTGTGTGTGTGTGTGTGTGTTAATATGAGGGCTTGAACTGAGAGCCTTGAACTTTTCTTGGCTTTTTGTCACTCATGGCTGATGCTCTACAATTTGAGTCATGCCTCCAGTCTGGCATTTTGCTGGTTAGAGATAAGAGTCTTTCCCATGTGTCTTCCAGGCTGGCTTTGAACTGTTATCCTCAGATCTCAGTTCCCTGAGTAGCAAGAGTTACAGACCTGAGCCACTGCATCTGTTGCAATTTCATTTTGCAAAACCAGTAAGTCTAGGCTCCTTTATTATTATATTTAGGTAGCTGTACAAAAGAGTTGCCATTTAACAAGCAGTTCATGAATACAATGCACTTTGATCCATGTCACCCTCCTTTATATGACTTTCAAAAGTTTATTTGAAAGCCGATCTTTGGCTTTTTCAGCTCATCTCTCTGCTCATCTCAAAGTTTGGGAAAAGCCAGGTGGTGCTGGAATACAATCTGGAGATGTTCTTGAGACAGGGTTATTGAGCTCATTACTTAGAATAATGGTGTGGCCCCTCTTTAACCAGGTCCCTTTCTCTCCAATAACAATAGACTCCCACTAGTAGCCTCCTGGGGCCCTGAAGGCTTCTACTACTTGATGCCTCTAGCCCTCGCACGCACTTCTCTCTAGACCTTCCCAACTTCTACCCACCATCGGTCCCCAGGCCAATGTCACACGGATTGTAGCTTCTGTTTACGTCAATTTCTCAGGTTCGGGCCGCAAAACAAATGTTATATTTTGTTATGCAACGAACAAAAACAAAACTGAGTAGCTTAAAACAGTAACATTCATTTATTTAGCTCACAAATCTGTAATTTTGGCAGTGCCCAGCTGAGAGTTGGTATCTATTCCATGAAGTATGGGTGGCTTGACGGCAGAATCCACTTCCCGAGTGACTTAGTCATGTGTCTGGTAGGTGGAGTGGATGGCCGGCTGGAGCTCAGCCAGCCCTGTGGCTTGAGGCCTCGGGTCTTTTCCCTGCAGGTTTCTCCACAGACAGGTTTCAAAGAGAAAGCATCCTAGGAGAATTGGGAAGAAACCACATCTTCCTCTGTGATCTAGTCTTGGAGATCACAGAGGCTTACTGCCACGGGAATCAGAGGCTGGTGCAGACCATGTCACTAGGCAGGAAACTTCACCACATTATCAAAGAAGCCTGGGAGATGGAGATGGGGTCATCTTGGAAAATTCAGCGTACCGCAAGTTAGAATGAATGCTGGAGTAACTCCTTTACAATTTAGGGCCACTGTGTAAACATGGAGTCTGCCTCCTTTGCTTTGCCTAGAGCAGTAGCTTTCAAAGGCTGGGGCAGACAATGGTTCTGAATTGTGATAAAAGTTCAACTATACATAGTCAAATGAGAAAAACAAATGAAACATGAAATTCTATAATAAAGTTTAATTTATTCAATTTTAAGGATCAAACCTTATGCTGAGATTATATCTTCCCTGCTTTTCTAGTGTTAAAAGGGGGCTGGGCAGGTGGCTCAGTGGTAAGAGTTCTTGCCTTGCATGCATGAGGTCCTGGGTTCGATTCCTCAGTACTACAGAAGCAGAAAAAGCTGGAAGTGGGGCTGCGGTGCAAGTGGTAGCATGCTAGCCTACAGCTGAAGAGCTGAGGGACAGCGCCCAGGCCCACAGTTCAGGCCCCACAACCGGTCGAAAAAAGAAAAAAAGGTAGTGACAGTACATAGTAGTTGTTTTCCTAATGAGGTCATAAGAATATCCTCCCTTTAATTTTTTACTGTTTTTTTCCCCCACACAAAAACCTAAGGAATCAGTTTGTAAGTTATCATACCTTAACACTGAACTTAGCCCTTGATTAAACACCTCTCACTTACGTGGAGGTTTTCCTGATACTAATATGTGCTTTCAAAAACAATCACTCTGCAAAAAGTTCAAGAAAAGCATGCAGCAGAGCAACACTTGAGCTTCAAACATGAGGTGTTGTAGCTCTCCATGCATCTACCTATAATTCAGTGCAACAAGAGGTACTGTATCTCTCTAAACAGACCAAAGTTATAGCTCCCTTCATAGATTTAAATACATGTTTGGATCCTCACGTCAGAAGAAACTTTGAAATCAGATCCAGGAATCCTTCAGTAATCACTAGGTTTACACACCCTAAAAAATAGAATGACAAGATGAAGGCTTGGGAAATAGAGGATCAAGGAGACTTCAGAGCGTCGGATGTGCCTGGGCCTTGTCTGCAGGAGAAGTGGGTACAGAAACGGGGCACTGGAATAAGCAAGGTAAGGAGGTAGGTTTGGAGTCACTTTTAAAAGGATCAACAAGCTCTATAAATGAATGAAGAGTAATGGAGAGGGGTCTATGAATAAAGTAGTAATAAGTCCTATGACTAAGGTAGTACTAAGTGAATTCATTCAAATACTAAGTTGCTATCCTATAAACTCTACATAAATGACAAGTAAGATAAAGTCCCTTCCCTCAAAAAAAACCACACCATTCACATTACTCAGAATGAAGCTACGGGCCCTCTGCATGCCCCAAAGGAGGAAAGATTCATCCTTTGTAATAGGGGTGCAGAATTACAAACTGCTTCACCAAGCATCAGAACTGAATCCTCAGAGGTCCCCACAGTGGGGGCAAGAGGAAGAAGAGGAGCGGGTGGAGGAGTTAGAAAGGCAGATTGGGAGACAGGAGAGGGCTCTTGATTGGCAGAAAGGTGCCGATACACTAAGTCTTACAAATAAGGTATCTGCAAATGTATCAAAAGCTAGAAAAGATCTGAGGATAAAGACTGGAGACAGGTGAATGGAGAGGTTTCTTTTATTCTAGGGGATCTCCAGAAAAGGGGTCTTAGGAATTGGCAAGTGAAGCCCAGGAATCTCCCCTACTCACACCTGGAAAAGTCGTGTTTTATTCATGATCAAGGCTTCAAAGGAGCAAAGCGAGGGCAGAGACAACCAAGTGGACTGCTGGAAAATACCCTGAGCTCAGAGGCCAGGACAATGCAGACTACCTCCATATTGCTCCACAGCTCGTCAACACCCACTGCAGCCGCCAGACAAGCCGTGAGAGTTATTGCCTACACTTCTATGTAAAGGGAATTGAAACTGATTTGCTCATGCAGTATTTTAAAAAAAACTCAAAACTTTATAAAGTGTGGGAGACATTTAAAACAGGATTATCTCAAAACTGAGGGAAAATGTCAAGGATAAAGTATTGCTGAATTGCATATTCATTTTCCCTCTCCTCAAAAATGAAAGGCTAGCTTGCAGAGCAAGACAAAGAGGAGGAAGTTGTAAGAACAAGAAAATAAGCTGTTGTTTTAAACATTTCCTTTTCTATAAATCTTTTCAAGGAAGTCACAAAGTAACAGAACATTCAGGGGCTAGAAAACACATTTAAAAATTATCAATAGGAAGCTGGGCGCATGTGGCTCACGCCTGTAATCCTAGCTTCTCAGGAGGCTGAGATTTGAGGATCGTGGTTCAAAGCCAGCCTGGGCAGGAAAGTCCATGAGACTCTTATCTCCAATAAACCACTAGAAAACTGGAAGTGACGCTGTGGCTCAAGCATTCACTTTGAGCTGAAGAGCACAGGGACAGTGCCCAAGCCCAGAGTTCAAGCCCCATGACCAACCGAAACAAATTATCAATAGGAAATTTAAACAAAAATAAATAATAAAAAAAAATAGGGATACATGTGGACCCATTGCAACAATGAGATGTACAAGTCGTTATGTCGAAAACGAACTTTACAACTTTGGTGGGGGGGAAGGATTGGGTGGGGGGGGCAGGGGGAGGATGGGAAAGGATGGGAAGGGGAAACAAAGGAGGAGGCTACAATGCTTGATAAGAAATGTACTCTCTATCTTGCCCATGAATTGTAACCCCTCTGTACAGTATTTTCACAATTAAAAAAAAAAGATCAATATGTGACTAATTATGGTGGCTGAGTCAAAGAAAGAAAGAAAGAAATTGAAAATAGGACAGGAGAAGAAATGGCATGGGTTCTGGTACAGTGTTAATTAACACTGCCAAACCTAGAGCATGGAACAGCTTCTACATATACAACTACTCAGAATGTACTTTTGTTAATTTAAAGATAAATAGAAGTTAAAGATAAACAAGACTTTTACCTAGAAACTATACCCCTCCTCCACCTTAGAAGTGAATTTTAATTTGGACCAAAAAGATAATAGTTAATAACCAGAAGACAATTCTTAATATTTTCTTGTTCCAGATTAGACCAGAGGCTGAACAGGTAAAACAAAGTAAGGGTGCTGAAGTTAGTACTTGAAATATTTTTATAAAACATCTATTTTTCTTGACTCCAATTGGCATGAATAGATTTGACTTTCCTGCTACTAGAAGAAAATGCAGACTTTTACAAAGGGTGTGCTCAGTATAATTTTGACTTCTCTTCTGATCACTGTTAGGTTGCAGATTTGGCACTTTTCACCGGACCTGAAAGGAAACAGATTTTAAAATTATATTTAGTGGGTGATACGGAACATAGGCCAGTTTTTCAAAACAACAAGCATACAACAAAGTCATTATGTCCCAACTTGAGCCAACCATTAATTAAACACCATGATTGCTGGTTTACTGATTCAAATATTCTTTTTTCTAAATGTGTACAGCTGTGAGGTTATATCTCCCATGAGCTCAGTATTATTGTGGCTAGTTCAGTCATTGATGAGAAACTTTGCATCAATTGCTGAACCGCTCATCTATTTCTTCAAGGTAAAATGGAGAACAGTTCCAACAGGTTGCACGAAGACCCAACATAGCATCCTGTGATAGGAAGGTATGCTATATGGCTTCAGGGAGAAAGGCACCTCTTCTGTAGAGCTGAGAAAGGGGGGGGGGGGGGGAGGCTCGCCCGACCGTCATGGTGGGAGAGGGACTGTCTCATCAGTAATTCCAGCCTGAGTCATCTCACTGCCAGACTATTCCAGTCTTGTTTTCTCTGCTCTCTTCTTTCTCCAATGTGTCATACCAAGAAGCCTAAATTGTTGTTGTTTTTAATTTTTAATACTAAGGATTGAACCCAAGGATTCTCACATACTAGGCAAATGCTCTACTACATAAGCCATGCTTCCAGATCTTTTTGTGTCTTATTTTGTTTCTGAGATAAGATCTCACTAATTTTGCCCAGCCTGACTTTAAACTCAAGATCCTCCTGCCTCAGCTTCCCAAGTGCTGAGACACTGGTGTGCAGCCCACTAGGCGGGGCCTGACCACTGCTCATGCCCAGGCCTGAGGAAGCACTGAGCCTCCGTTCTACCGTTTCCTCCACACTCCTTCCTGGCGTCAGGACAGCAGTCCTCTGCCGTCATGGTGCTTGGTCCCTGTCACACTACCTAAACTGTCTCTTAATCTCTTAAAATCTATGACCCCTTTTATAAGCATTAAGACTCTACATACTACGTTTCCACATGCAAAAGAATAAAGTTGGATTCTCATCTCACACCATGCACAAAAAATAATGTAAAATGTATCACAAATGTATTACTTGAAACGTAAGAACTAAAACTACTTTTAAAAATCTTAGAGGACATGTCAAATTAAATATTAATAATACTGAAATGGAAAATGGTTCTGAGGTACAATACTAACAACCAAAAGGAAAGAACACTCATCAAAAGTAAAGTCTATTGTATTACAGACATAAGAAAGAAAAAGAATGGGACATATTACAGAATTGTATGTTTGATAAAGGATTAACACCCAGAATACATAAAGAACCCTTCCAATTGAACAATAAGATTGAACCTAGAGCCTCACGCATGCTTTCAAGGAAGATGCTCTACCACTGAGCTACATCAACAATCCAACAAGTAACTTAAAAATACACTGAATTAGGGCTGGGATGTAGCTCAGCAGCAAAGTACCCACCTAGCAAGCAGAAGACCCTGCATACAGACACACATACACACACACACACACACACACACACACACACACACACACACACACACACACATACACACACACACACACAATTAGAATTAAAACAGATATAACACCAGAGAATATATACACTTGGCCAACAAACATATGAAAAGATGCTTTAAATAATTAGTACTCATGGAAATGCAAGTAATAGCTACAGTAAGACACAATTTCACACTCACTATAATGCCGAAGAAAATTTTAGGCAACAACAAATGTCAACAAAGAGGTGGAGAAACTGGAATCTTCACGCGCTGCTGGTGGGAATGGGAAGTGGAAAACAGCTTAGCAGCTCTTCCAAAGGCTCAGTTGCTATCTGACCCAGAAATGCCTCTTGTTTATATGCCAAAGAAAAGTGAAAACATGGGGCCATACAAAAATGAGACCACAGAGGCTGCATTAGTTGTAAAAGCCAAGAGTAGAAAGCCACATGTACATTGACCAATAGATGGATCAAATTTGTATCTAGCTGAAGTAATATTATTCAGCCATGAAGAGCAATGAAGCTTTATACATTTTACACCATGACAGAACCTTTGAAACATTATGCTTAGTGTCAGAGGCCAACTACAAAATGCAAGAAAATTTTTTATGATTCTATTTATTAAAAGTTCAGAACATTCAAATCCACTGTGATAGAAAGTAAATTAATGATTGCCAGGATTTGGAGAAAGGAATGGGAAGGGTTTTCTAATAAGAATAGGGTTTCTTTGGGGGAAGTGCTAAAAATAGACAATGGTGAGAATGACAAAGGTTTGTGGATATACTGAAAACCACTATTGGACCCTTTGAAAAAGTGGATTTTATGAGAATCATCTCTCAGTAAAACTAGGGAGTTTTATTGTCAATATTACGCTTTGAACTCAGGACTTTGTGTTTAATAGGCAAGTACTCTATCATTTTAATCATATGCCCAGCCCTTTTAGCTTTGGTTATTGTTTAGATAGGGTCTTGCATTTTTGCCAGAACTGGTCTCAGACCAGAATCCTACTACCTATGATTCTTGCGTAGCTGGCATTCAAAACTATAATACCCAGCTTTGTTACTGAGATGGTCTCACTAACTTTTGGCCTACCCTGGCTTCAAATTACAATCTTCCTGTCTCTGCCTAAGTAGCTGAGATTACAGGCACCTAGCAAAGCTGTTATTTAAAAAAGAAAAGAAGAATCCTAAATATGCTTGCCTCCAAGATTCTGGTCCGTGCACCTGCTCCATTCTCAAGCTGGCATTCCCACAACAGGCTTTGTCCCAGTATATTATATATGCTCAAAGTTCTTTTTCAGATTCCATCACAGTAACTCCCAAGAAGACATGCTTTCTGAGTTGAGAATCATTGGTTAAAACCAAAGACATAAACTAGCTACATGCGGTGCACCAGTAGTCCCAACACTCAGGAGGCTGAGGCAGGATCATGAGTTCCAAGCTAATCTGGCCTACACAGCAAAATCCTGATTTAGGAAATACCAAATCAAAAGCATGGTAATCACAATGATTGAGGATGCTATCAAGTTGAGGCATTTATATTAGTTCTTATTGTTACTGATTATTAGTTCTTACTAATGGACGCTAGGGAAGCTGGACCCCAAGCTCTTATGGATTAGGGCTTAGACAAAGTTAATGGCTACTTAATGGAGACTGTGAAAAATCACACTACACCAGAAGTGACATCATTAAACTGAATTCTCCTCTTCTATGACACTCAAATCTTTTTTTTTTTTTTTGGGTCCGGTTGTGGGGCCTGAACTCTGGGCCTGGGCGCTGTCCCTCAGCTCTTCAGCTCAAGGCTAGCGCTCTACCACTTGAGCCACAGTGCCACTTCCGGCTTTTTTTCTTTTTGCTTATGTGGTGCTGAGGAATCGAACCCAGGGCCTCATGCATGCAAGGCAAGCGCTCTACCACTGAGCCACCTTCCCAGCCCCACACTCAAACCTTTTTATTCAAGACTTACGTGGGGTAGACAGCTTTATAATAATGGGAGTCACAATATCTTCCATCTGCTGTCTCTGCTCAGAAAGCTCACTAACGGAAGCTTCTGGATGGGTTTCCAGCCACTCATTCTTTACCCGGCATACATTGATGATGGTGTTCTAGAGACACAAATAGTGTGCTTACTTTCCACTTACTTATTGAAAAATAACATCCTGCAGTGTCTCCAAACCAGCGTGGCCCAGCAGCACCCTCTGTGGGGGTGAGATGCAGCACAGACAGCAGCGACGGCTTGCTACTGACAACTGTCCTGCTCAGTAGGACTACGGAACTGGATTTTCAGTCATATTTAATTTTAGAGCCACATGAGGCTCACCAGCTTTTTGGTGGTTAACTGAAGGAACAAGTCTCAAAGACTTTCCTGCCCAGGCTGGCATCAAACTGTGATCCTCAGATCTCAGCCTCCTGAGAAGCTAGATTACAGGCGTGAGCCACCAGTGCCCAGTCCTGGAATATATTTTCATTCACATCCACAGGCACTACCTGGATATAGTAATATGGCAAACTGGCTTAACAATTTGCTGTGTTTATATCTGTTTCTCTCTATCCACATTTTGGAAATTATGAAGCATTAAAATATGTGATATATGTATATATACCCATATGCTAAAATGTCTATTTACTATGTTTTGAAGCAAAATAATGAAATGAGTATTAACCTAACTCCAGCCTCCATCCCACCTCTACTGCGTAATCTACATATAGCCCGTGGCTTTGCTCTTTAATAGTCTGAGCCCCACATGTAGGTGTCCCTAAATAGTATCATTTGAGCTCTTTTTGAACTTTTTTTGAGCTTTAGACAAATCTATGATAGATACTGTCCTATGGTTCTCTTCACTCAATACTCAATATTTCTAACATCTGTCCACATGGCCAAATGTAATGGTGGGCATACCTCCATGCCACTCTAAATACTTCTTCATTTATTTTGATCAGACTTTTCCTTACTGGTAGTTTGTGATGGAAGGAAGGGATGGAGGGAGAGAAAAGGTGAAAAGGAGAAGTAGGGGACAAAAGGGGAAAGAGGAACAGTAAGACCACTCCCTGCCTCTCGGGTATTCCCATTAGAATCGAGACAAAAGACAAAATTCTCAAATGATTTTCAGAACAAACAATAATCATAATACAGTACCTTGTCTTCCTTCAGGAGCTTCCCTGGCCACTTTTCTGTGTCTGTAAGTAGTAGAGATGCCTTTGTAATATATCTTCTCAGAGCCAGTCTTGCATCTGAAAGAAGAGGACAATAAAAACATATGGGAGGGGCTGGGAAGGTGGCTCAGTGGTAGAGCTCTTGCCTTGCATGCATGAGGCCCTGGGTTCGATTCCTCAGCACCACATAAGCAGAAAAAAGCTGGAAGTGGCACTGTGGCTCAAGTGGTAGAGCGCTAGCCTTGAGCTGAAGAGCTGAGGGACAGCGCCCAGGCCGGGAGTTCAGGCCCCACGACCGACAAAAAACAAACAAACAAACAAAAGTATATGGGATGACAAGGGACAAAGATGCTGCTCACCTCTCTGGGTGAGAATGTTGAAAGGGGTGATATGGATCAAGATACACTGTATTCATAAACTGCTTCGTTAAATGGCAACTTTTGTACAACTATTTAAAGATAATAACAAAAAGAAAAAAAGATGCTCAACTGTTTGTAAAGTTATCACACGCTCGGAACTCTGTAGGAGTGTGTGTGTGTGCAGGGGATTGCTGCTCCCAGTGTTTTTACGCAACTGCAGAAGGGTAACCTGCCATGAGGGCGTCTCTGTGGAACGCTCAGTGTGGTCCCGAAATGTAGTAACATCTCTTTTTTATTGCAAAGGTGATGTACAGGGGGGTTACACTTACATAAGTAAGGTAATGAATACATTTCTTTTTGAACAATGTCACCCCCTCCCTCATTTTCTCCCACTCCCTCCCCCATTCTCCTCCCTTCCCAATTGTAAAGTTCATCTCCAACATAGTGTCTAGGGAATATCACTGCTGCATTGGTTCACCCTCTGTCCCACTGTTTCTGTGATTCCCCTTCCCTCCCTTAAATCAGATAACCTTATATACAAGACAAAGGGTACAGAGATCAAAAACAGTGCCAACAAGGAATAAACCAAAGGGGAAGGAAGGAAGGAAGGAAGGGAGGAAGTGAGGGAGGGAGGGAGGGAGGGAGGGAGAGAGGGAGGAAGGAAATAGTGCACTAGAAAAACCTCGTTTCCATTTCTTGGAGTTCATTTCGCTAAACATCGTTTTATATGGTCATATGCACATAGCTATTGAACTGCTGTGATCCTCTGCTATGAATATGATAGATATAGTCTAGTTATTACAAATGAGGGAGACCATGCAGCCTATGTTTCTTTTGGGCCTGCCTTACTTCACTTAATATAATTTTTTCCCAGGTCTTTCCATTTTCTTATGGACAGAGAAATGTCATTCTTTCTGACGGAAGCATAGAATTCCATTGTGTATATATACCACATTTTCTTGATCCATTCATCTACTAAGAGGCATCTGGGAAACTTGAAAAAGGAAATTAAAATAGACTTAAGGAGGTAGAAAATCTCCCATGATCCTGGATTGGGAGGATTAACTTTGTGGAAATGGCAGTGCTGCCAAAAATTCAGTGTGATACCCTTCAAAATCCCAACAACATTCTTCAATAATATAGAAAGGCAATCCAAACCACATATGAAATCAGGCGCCAGTGGCTCATGCCTGTAATCCTAGCTATTCAGGAGGCTGCAATCTGAGGATTGTGGTTCAAAGCCAGTCTGGGCAGAAAAGTCCCCGAGAGACTCTTATCTCCAATAAACCACTTAAAAACTGGAAGTGGAACTGTGGCTCCAGTGGTAAAGTTCCAGCCTTAAGCAAAAGAAGCTCAGGGACAGTGCCCAGGCCCTGAGTTCAAGCCCTACAGCCAAACTCATATGGAATAACCAAAGACCCCCAAATAGCAAAAACAATCCTTAGCAGGAAGAAGAGTATTGGAAGAATATCAATACCAAACTTCAAACTCTGTTATAAAGCCGTAATTATAAAAAAAAACACAACAAACAGCTTGGTATTGGCACATGAACAGGCCTCAGGACACATGGAATAGAACTGAAGACCCACAAAATGAACCCACAGACCTATGCCCACCTAATCTTTGATAAGGGAACCAAAAACAGGATGGAAGAAAGACAGCCTCTTCAACAAATGGTGCTGGGCAGAATTGGCTAAACACGTGGAAAACTTTAGTTAGTTCCTGAATATATCACCCTGCACCAGAATCAATTCCAAATGGATCAAAGACCTCAATGTAAAACCACATACCCTGAAATTACTACAGGAAGTTATGGATAAGGGAAACAACAGGATTCCTTGGCACAGGATGAAACTTCCTAAGACCCAGAAACACAACAAATCAAAAAAAAAAAAAAAAAAAGGCTGTATAACTGGATTGCATTAAACTGCAGAGTTTCTGCATGGCAAAGGACATAGCTAGCAAGACAAATAGAAATGCCACAGAATGGGAGAAGATCTTTACTAGCTAGTTATACATCCAACAAGGGCCTCATACCTAGAATATACTTAGAGTTCACTAACATCTTTGAAGAACAAAAGAAATGTAAAACATTACACTTGATGCTAATGATACCTTATCTATTAAACTATCTACCTTAGAGTCAACAAAAAGTATTTCCAACAAACTTTTACTTGTTCTACTATTCTTTATCCTTCACAAAAAAAATTAAAGCTAATTTTCTCTTTTAAAAAAAAAACCTAGCTAGGTGCCAGTGGCTCACACCTATAACCTAACTACTCAGGAGGCTGAGATCTGAGGATCACAATTTGAAACCAGCCCAGGGAGGAAAAGTCTGAGAGACACTTATTAACCACAAAAAAAAAACTAAAAGTGGAGCTGTGGCTCAAGTGGTAGAGTGCTAGCCTTAAGCAAAAGAGCTCAAGAATGATGTGCAGGCCCTGAGTTCAAGCCCCAATATCAGCACACACACGGATATGTACACGTATACAAAACACTTTGCTAGGAACAGGTGGCTCACACCTATAGTCCTAGCTACTCAGAAGAATGAGATCTGAGGATCGCAGTTCAGAGCCAGCCTTAACAGATATGTCCACGAAACTCTCTAGTTAACCAATAAAAAGCCAGAAGTGGAGCTGTGGCTCAAGGGGTAGAATGTCAGCCATGAGCAAAAGAGCTAAGAAAAAGCACCCGGGCCCTGAATTCAAGCCCCTGTACCAGAGAGAGAGAGAGTGCACACATGCATGCACGCGCACACACACACACACACACACACACACACACACACACACACACACACACACACATACACGGCCTAGATCCCATCTTTTTGTCATGTACAATGCTACCTCACCATCTTCTTCTCCCGTGTACCAGGCCACCTTTTTCACCCCTCACACACCACCTTCAGGGCACCACAGTGCTACCAAGGTGATATGAATACAATTTCTGAGACTTTGTTAGTATCATCATTAAACTTATTACTAGTAAAATCTTAACAATTTCTAAGAAAATTGAAGAAACCAAGCCTGGTGTCCATGATTCACCCCCAAACCCCTGCTATCTGGGATGCTGAGATCAGACTGCAGTTGAGGCCGGCCAAATTAGGTGGATTATAGTTCTGGACACATGGGAACAGGAAGTGAGCAAAAAAAGGGTTAGAGGCATGGCTCCACAGTAGAGTCCCTGCCTAGCATATCCAAGGCCCTAAGTTTAAGTTTAAATCCCAGTACTAGCAAAAAGAAAAAGAAAAAAAAGGGAGGAGAAAGAAAGAGAGAGAAGGAAGGAAGGAAGGAAGGAGTAAAGGTAGGAAGGGATGGAGGAAGGAAGAAGGAAGGAAAGAAAAGGAAGAAAGGAAGGGAGGGAGGGAGAAGGAAAGAAGGAAGGAAGAAGGAAGGAAGGAAGGATGGAAAGAAAGGAGGGAGGGAGTAAGAGAGGGAGTAAGGGGGGTGGAGAATGAAGAAAACCTAAGCTAACAGGTTGGTGATGCCTTTGAATTCCAGCATAGTTCTTTATGATGTCATCGGCCTTCTCCCCGAGTCACTATAACCTATGATGTTACAATGATTCTCATTGTATAGTTTTCTGGGTATATCTGGCTGATCAGCAAGACTATCTGAAATGCCTTGACTGAAGTACCATATGAACAATACATGGGGCATTTTCTGCTCTGTTCTGATCAATTTTTTAATTAACTCCAGATTTTCTTCCCAATTGTGAAAGAAAGATGTCTAATCAAGGCCTGGCCCTGATTTTCCCTCTGTTGTTTATCTGCTTTTTCAAGGAGAGCTTCTGCATTTGTGATGGAACAATCTGGACAAAGGTTGGATGGGAGATTTTTCCAGAAGAAGTGCACTATCTGAAAGTTAAGGCTTCTCCATCCCACTGTCTGCCTTTCCCTCTGGACAAGCTATTCTGTAGCTTTGCTAACATGGATATAGTTCAGAGTTGTTTGCACCTTAGTTATATTTTAGTACAAGCTCTCTTTTTAATCCTATCTGTTTTATCTGTCCATTACCTGTGGATGAAATGGAAGAAACACCAAAAAAAGGTGAATTTCTGATGTAAACATAGAACTTCAAAGAGTTTAGAACGTAAGATCATCGGCTTCTCTGAACAAAGGTTATTCCCCTCGGCAACCTCCTCCCTTCTCAGTGTCTAGCACAGTATCTTGCATGTATTAGCTACTCAACAAATGTACACTGAATCAGAATTTCCTTAAAATCATCTAGACTACTCCTATTTCAAGTACAAGTAGTGAGCTACAGTGTGTATGATGTGTAGAAAATGAAGTCACCTGTCTCAACCCTTAGGTAAGTCATTTGCTCTTTCTCAGCTCTCTTGTTCCAGATCATAGAATGATCAGACAATGAGCTGGAACACGAGATCTCTTAAAGATTTTCTAGGCCTGTCTACAAAAGCTAAGTACAAATGTTGCTATGAACTTTTTAAGTGGACTGTAAACTGATTTCTAATTGGATAATTTTCTGAGAACTAGAACTTTTAAACTAATTTCCCACTTTGCCGATAGATGGCACCACAGTTGGAGGCAATTCTAAAAGCCCACTGGAATATATACATATGTATATATATATACACACATACATTTACATATATACACATACATGTGTGTATTTATTTATTTATTGTGCTTTCTTTTTTATTTTTATTTTAAAGGTGATATACAGAGAGGTTACAGGTAATGAGTACATTCCTTTTTGAACAATGTGATTCCTCCCCTTGCTCTCTCCCAGTTTTTCATCTCCCATTTCCACCCACAAATTGTACAGTTCATTTTCAACATAGAGTATAGTGAGTACTACTGCTCCATTTGTTCACCCTGTGTGCTTTCTTCTTTTATAAAGGCCTGTTGTTATGGTTTTCAGGTTGATATTGTTTAGCAAAGGAAGTCAAGGTGCTAATATTCAAATCATCTCTCCCAGCAGAGTAAACATAGAAAAGCACTAGAGTTCCTTGATGACAGCAGTGATCAAGCTACCCTTGTTTTGCATAATATAGAAGAACATTTCTTCTCAGACTTTCTTTGATAACTTTTCTCTTGTATAAATAACTGCTGTATGCATTTAATAGAATTTAAGTTTATATATGCAGAATGCAGGTTTAAATTTGAACTCAGATAAAAGTCTCTCTATCATTTGTTTTGCTCCTTTTAGCTGAGAAGACAAGCCTCCTTAGATAAGCCTGATAAAGACCTAGAAAGTCCATCCATCTATGACATTGATCAAATACTCTGCAGACTGCTGGCCACGACATCAATGATGACCAAGTACCTGAAAAAGGTGTCCCAACATTCTTTCCCTAAGAAAGTAAAACAACACAAAGAGCAAGAAGAGTGGAGGTGGAGGAAAGGAATCAGAGTACATGAAACATGAGCACATGCAAACATAGTTCAGTCAAACATGGAAATTACAAGAGAGGTCCTTAAGAGGACTTATCTAAGGGTAAAAGTGGTCCTTTGAGAGTCTTTGTAATTTTTTTGCCACAATCTTTACTGAAATTTTCTCAAAAAAAGTCTGGATTTCCATTCTATGAATCCATACTTACGAAAGTGGCTCCTAAGAGAAAACAAAAACACCTTGGTCTGGCATTTCAGGGCACGATTTGACTGTGAGAGCTGCAGCACTTGTCAAGTATTGATCACATGACAGGTATTTTGCTAAGTGCTTTTCAGCTTCTCATTTAATTCTCACATCTCTTAGGAGGAAAGCGCTATTAACGGTCCCCTTTGCTCAGAAAAGAAACATCAGATGCAGAGAATTTAAGTACTTTGTTGAAGGTCTTATAGGTTTCAAATGGAGACAGACAACTGTATTGAAATCCTTTTATTATTCCATCTATGCTACAGCCTATCCCTGGAAACTCTGACTTGCTTACTCTTCAGTCGGGCAATCTTGTCACTGTCCTCCAACAGGCCACGTGCACATCCAGCTCTAAGATTCCACTCAGGCCCTTTTCCCTTCTATGCCTGTCCAATAGTATCATTCAGTAAATGCTTAAAAGCACAAATGCAGTTAACCATATAAAATGAATGTTGTGTTAAATGTGTTCATATTCACTAGCTTGTGTATGTTCATACAACGTTAGATGTTACTACAAAATATCAGCAAAACTTTAAGTAGCACATAGGCTTTTTAAAAAATTTCTGTATAATAAGCGTACAGAAAAGTGGAGAAATTAAAAGTGTACAGCTCAATGAAAATGTGCCTATGTAATCAGTAAACAAGTTAAGAAAAAGATGACATACCCTAGAAATTTTCTCAAACCGTAAGGGTAATTATCATTGTAATTATAAGCATAATAGATTAACGGCTTAAATAAGTATTTTTTATCAGTATTAACATTTTAAACATAAATTTATTATTATTAAGGTGTGGTACAGAGGAGTGAGTTATCACTTCATAAATCAGGTAATGAGTACATTTCTCTTTTTTAGACAATGCCATCCTTTCAAAGTATTACCATTTTTTCTATCTGGGGAATTAAATATATTACTGAAATATTTTTTATTTCTTTTTTTTTGCCAGTCCTGGAGCTTGAATTCAGAGCTTAGGCACTGTCCTTGAGCCGCTCTGTGCTCCAGGCTAGCGCTCTACCACTTGAGCTGCAGTGCCACTTCTGACTTTTTCTCTTTATGTGGTACTGAGGAATTGAACCCAGGGCTTCATGCATGCTAGGCAAGCACTCTACCACTAAGCCACATTCTCAGCCCTTGATTTGTTTAACATTGAAAGAATAATCTATTTTGCCTGGCTGTCTCAAAAAAACAGTCCTAAACATATATTGTATGTATAGAAAATGACTGGTTATCCTGTTACAAGTAGGTATATTAATAAGCTCCCAAGATACACAATTCCTATTAGGTGCAATGTTATAGACAAACAGCAAATTAGAGAGGCTAAAGAGAAAAAAGGCAGATTTCATATATTATTGAAAAAAGCAAATGAAACATCCAAGGCCTATAGTTGCAGCTTAAATGGTAGCGTGCTTCCCTTGCAAGCACAACGTCATGAGTTCAAAACTCAGTGCTACTTTAAAAAAAATTATCAGGACTGGGAAGGTGGCTCAGTGGTAGAGCACTTGCCTTGCATGCATGAGGCCCTGGGTTCGATTTCTCAGCACCACATAAACAGAAAAAGCCAGAAGTGGCCCAGTGGCTCAAGTGGTAGAGCTCTAGCCTTGAGCTGAAGAGCTGAGGGACAGCGCCCAGGCCCAGAGTTCAGGCCCCATGACCGACAAAAAAAAAAAAAAAAAAAAAATATATATATATATATATATATACATATATATATATATATATATATATATATTTCACAGGGGAAAATGTTAATCATGTTTTTCCATTACTAAGAGTATATGAGCTTCCTTACCTGCCCGGTCCAGAAACTCAACACACTCAGTCTGATTGTATCGAGCAGCAACATCTCGAGCCTTTTCTTCCCGGAAGTTCAAAGCTTCTATGTCAACATCTAGGTCTACAAGGGCTTTCAAAGTTTCCAAACGACCCCAGGCTGCAGCACAGTGTAAGAGTGTATACCCTAGTGAGCAGAATGAAGGAGGTCAGGTCCAACAGACTAGGAACAATCTCCAACTTAGGACAGTCTGACATGATTTTTGTTTTTGCTTTACAGTGGTACTATATATACATAGAGAGAGAAGGAGAGAGAGAGAAAAAGAGAGAGAGAGAGAGAGACTATGCAGAATCTTGACATTCAAATTGTCTAAGTCAGACACTGGTAGCTAATGCCTATAATCCCAGCTACTCAGGAGGCTAAGATCTGAGGATCTAGGCTTGAAGCCAGCCCTGACAGGGAAATCCATGAGACTCTTATCTCCAATAAACTACTCAGAAAAAGCTGGCAGTGGTGCTGTGGCTCAAGTGGTAGAGTTCTAGCCTTGAGCACAGAGAGGCTCAGGGACAGAGCCCAGGCCCCGAGTTCAAGCCCTAAGACCAGAAAAAAAAAAAAAAAAAAGGTCTGATACTCTCCTGAGATGCTGAAAAGCAAAAGTGAACACAGTTCCCAGGAAGCCCCACTATCACAAAGGCAGATGAGATGGTGGATAATCTCCAGTGAGTAGGCTGGATATAGTAAGTACATTTTCCACTTACACTACTTTGCTAATAGAACTGGGTCATGACCCACTGTAAGTCAAAGGTTCATCTGTACATTATGTTAGACTATGTGAGACAGTAGATTATAACTGAGTACTGAATGAGACCCTAAGTGCTTTACATAAACTCAGTTAACTTTTTTTTTTTGGTCCGGTCATGGGGCCTGAACTCTGGGCCTGGGCGCTGTCCCTCAGCTCTTCAGCTCAAGGCCAGAGCTCTACCACTTGAGCCACAGTGCCACTTCCGCCTTTTTTCTTTTTGCTTGTGTGGTGCTGAGGAATCCAACCCAGGGCCTCATGCATGCCAGGCAAGCGCTCTACCACTGAGCCACCTTCCCAGCCCCAAACTCAGTTAACTTTATAAGCTCTAGAGCGTCAGAATTATTGTGATTCTCATCTTACAGATAAGAAAACTGAAGTCCAGAGATGTTAAGAAATTTGCCCAAGGAATACAGCCAAAGAATGATGAACACAAAATACCCAACCCAGGCAGTCTGAAGTCTGAGCAACTCAACATGAGCTAAGGAAGATGTCAATCTGTTTTGGATCAACCTGATGCTAGGGTTTCAAGGAATTTTCCATGGAACCCTAATTACTCTGGCACTACTGTTAGCACTATCATAGTATGCTTTGTATGCTTTGGTTTGGAGATTAACCTTTTGAATTAAAGCTGAAATTATGAACTACCAAATTAGAAAGTATCTAAGACTTTCTGAGGCAATTGAATGAGATAGTATCCTTGTCAGGGTGATAAATATGGCATGTGCTTCTACATGTTTTTCAGGCTGCTTTAAAAACTAAAAAAGACCAAAAAATCATCATTTTAACTTAAATGGGGGATCTAGCACCAAGAAAGCAAGTAGCAATCCTAGCAAGGCAAGCAAGATGTGGTTGCTCTCTTTGTACCTCTCACTGACACTTGTGTTCCCTTGCTGTCCCTCACGGAAGAGTTATTTATACTGAGAGGTGACTGGTAGTTCTTGTCTACCTTCTGCCTGCCTAGTATCATCTGTGCTAGAAACCCAACCTTGGGCATTTCCCAGCATCCCAAGGAGAACACAGCCCTGGTTCTCTGGATGGAAGGTGCAAATTCAATCCAATCTCATATGGAAACCAGTTCCAAGACGCTTACTTAGAAAACAATGAAACAGCTGGACGCAAGTGGCTCACACCTATAATTCTTCCGATTCAGGAGGCTGAGACCTGGAGGATCACATTTCAAAGCCAGCCTGGGTAGAAAAACTCTTCAAGACTCTTAGCTCCAATTAACAGACAAATTGCTGAACTGGAGGCATGGTTCAAATGGTAGAGCACCAGGCATGAGCAAAAGAGCATGGTGCTGAATTCAAATCCTAGTACCAGCACAAAAAATAAAAATATAAAAAGCAGCAGTAGTAAATGGAGGGTACGACTGACTGGGCAGGAGAGATTTCTTTGGCCAGCAGGCTGAGCCATCTCATGTGGTATAGTTCTTGTATCAATGGTGTCTAAATCCTGCTACTGGCATAAGAAGGTAAATAGATTCAAAACACATTCCGAGTCAATACAGAACTATGAAAATTCACTATACTCACAGAGGCAGGTATTATACTAAAGAAGAGTTAAGCAAAGAGAATAAACAAAAGTGGTATCTATTGAGCACTGGGCATTTTAGTGTGCTTCATTAAATCCAATAGCCCTGTGAGGAGGGCACTAATGGCTCCACTAAAATACGCGATGGAAGATGAAGGCCAGAGCATCTCTACCTTTACCAAGGCTACACTGGGTGCAAGTAAACAAAGTGAGATTAAGATGTAGGGTCTGTTGCCACATGGTTTGGTTTCTGTTGTTGTTCTGTTGTTTTATTTTGGGCAGTCCTGGGGTTCGAACTCAGAGCCTTGCACTTGCTAGGCAGGCACTCTACCACTTGAGCCACTCCATCAGCCATTTTTGTGTGGGTTGTCTTTTGAGATAGGGTCTTGCTATATGTCCTGGCCAGCCTGGACTGTGATCCTATTTATGCTTTCCCCCGTTGCTCAGATGACAGGTGCACACCCCTGCATCTGGCCATTGGTCGAGATGGAGGTCCCTAAACTTTTGTGTCTGAACTATCCTCACACTGCAATCTCCCCATCTCCACCTCCCACAGTTATTGGCATAAACTGCCATGCCCACCTTCCAAAGCGCTTTTTAATAATGGCTTTAATCCATGCTTAAGGGCTCTATCTAAACACTTCCCACAAGGAACCATGCCCCCTGGTGCATTGGACATTAAGTGTTGAACATGTGAATGTTGGGGGCACAAAGAACTTAGTAACTATAAAATGAGGAGCTAAGAAGCACCCAGGCACCACCTTCATGTTCCCGCCTTCTGAAGATGGCAGTTGAGCTGCCAAGGGAGAAACACGATGCACTGAAAGCCTGAGTAGGCGGCCATTCCAAATAGTAAGCATTCTGGATCGCAGACACACACAAGTACCAGAGCTGGCATTGAGGGCCTCCTGCGCCCGCTTGGCTGGCTTGCTCATGGCTGCCACTCAACCACTCAAGTCAAGCCTCCTGTCTAGATTTTTGCTGGCTGGTTGGGAGACAGAGTCTCATGGACTTTTCTGCTGGGGCTTGAGTTGAGCCATAGTCCAGATCTCAGCCTCCTGAGAGGCTATGATTATAGGCATAAGCCACTGGTGTCGGCTCACTGATCTTTTTGTTGCTATTTTCTCATTTTATTTTATTGTGGTCAGAAACCCAGGAATGTGACAGATTGACATTTGAGACTTTCTTATGGCTCAATATATCATCATTTGGCATAGTCCTTATTTACTGGAGATGACTTTTCTGCCCTGACCATGCTGTCTTCAAAAAACAAATTAGTGAATTGAAAGAGCTAGCGATAATGACTGCTAAAAAGCCATACCATTTCTTTTTTTTTGGGGTGGGGGGAACCGGTTGTAGGGCCCAAACTCTAGGCCTGGGCACTGTCCCTCAGCTCTTCAGCTCAAGGCGAGCGCTCTACCACTTGAGCCACATTGCCACTTCCGGCTTTTTTCTTTTTTCCTATGTGGTGCTGAGGAATCAAACCCAGGGACTCATGCATGCAAGCAAGCACTCTACCACTGAGCCACCTTCCCAGCCCAAGTCATACCATTTCAAAGGAAAGAAATCAACAGTGACATTAAGAATTTACCATGTGAAAATGTACTATGTACCATTCCTTATATTTACCTCGTTAATCCTCATAACACCCTATAAGAGGGGCTAGGAAGGTGGTTCAGTGGTAGAACGCTTGCCTTGCATGCCTGAGGCCCTGAGTTCGATTCCTCAACACCACATAAGCAAAAAAAAAAAGCCAGAAGTGGCGCTGTGGTTCCAGTGGTAGAGCGCTAGCCTGAGCTGAAGAGCTGAGGGACAGCGCCCAGGCCCAGAGTTCAAGTCCCACGACCAGACCCAAAAAAACAAAAACAAAAACAAAAAAACACCCTATAAGAAAATATATTCATTCTGCAGATGAAGAAACAGAACAAAAGCACTTAGGTACCTTGCCAAATCAGATAGCTAATACTAAAATCTGCGTATCAACACTGATATGCTTCCCTGTGTGCCCCATATATGTGTTCATGCATATATAACAGGCACATCTAATTTATCCAGCCTTAAAGACAGTCCATAGTATCTTTATGTAGTCCGAAGAGAGATGAAAGATGAAATACCTCTGGTGGTTTGCTCATTCAGATTCACGCCATATTTTGCCAAAGCTCTAATGACATCACTTTGCCCGGCCATGCAAGCTGCATACAACAAATTTCTCCCAACAATGTCTTCTTCCAAGAGAAACTGCATGGCATTTTCATGATGTGGATTTTCAGGATCCTCAAAAATCTTCTGCAAACCTTCTACATCCCCTGTGAGAGCAGGCTGTAGGAGGGGGTTCTCCATGCCGAGTTCCTCTGGCTCTTGGGATTCATCATCATATAGTTGCTGTGAGGAAGACAGTGATTTTTCTGTACTGTCTGAATCAAGGCTTTCTTCTGGATCCATTAACTCCCAAAATACCTATGACCAAAATAGAAATATTTACAAACTAGTATTTGATCATTCAACTGACATGATGGTAGAAAAATACGTTAAGAAAATGATGCTAAAATAAGATACTTTTTTATTAATAAGTTTTTTTAATTGTGAAAATACCGTACAGAGGGGTTACAATTACATGAGCAAGGTAATGAGTACATTTCTTATCAAGCATTGTTGCTTCCTCCTTTGTTTCCCCTTACTATCCCTGCCTTCCCATCTGCCCGCCCCCCCCCAATAAGATACTTTTGTCAAAGTTTTCTGTGAATCTATTATGAGTAAATATATTGCCTAAGTATATACCAAATACTAAATGTGTGATATAAACTTTCACAAGAGGGAGAAAGCTGGGTGCTGGTGGCTCATATCTGTAATCCTAGCTACTCAGGAGGCTAAATCTGAGGATCATGGTTCAAATCCAGCCCAGGCAGGAAAGTCTGTGAGACTCTTACCTTCAATTAACCACCAGAAAACCTGAAGTGGCATTGTGGTTTAAGGGGTAGAGCACTCGCCTTGAGTTTGAGAACTCAGGGACAGCACCCAGGCCTAGAGTTCAAGCCCCACAACCAACAAAAAAAAAAAAGAGAGATTGAAGTGAGCTACTTTAGAAAATAATTAAAAGAGAACATTAAAGAGAGCTGCCTGCCTAAAATGCTGAATGTGTGATATAAACATTTTTTAAAAATAGCAAGAGATGGGCTGGGAATGTGGCTTAGTGGCAGAATGCTTGCCTAGTATGCATGAAGCCCTGGGTTCAATTCCTCAGTACTACATACACCGAAGAAGCCGAAGAGTCACTGTGGCTTAAGTGGTAGAGTGCTAGCCTTGAGCAAAAGAAGTTCAAACAGTGCCCAGGCCCTGAGTACAAGCCCCCCCCCCTCAAAAAATAGCAAGAGAAGAAAGATTAAAGTGAGATGAATTCATAAGAAAATGATTAAAAGAGAAAGAGAGACCTGCCAAGCTGGGCGCCGGTGGCTCATGCCTGTAATCCTAGCTACTCAGAAGGCTGAGATCTGAGGATCACAGTTCAAAGCCAGCCCAGGCCAGAAAGTCCATGAGACTCGTATCTCCAATAAACCACTACAAAACCGGAAGTGGCACTGTGGCTCAAGCGGTGGAGTACTTGCCTTGAGCTGAAGAGCTGAGGGATAGCACCCAAGTCCAAAGTTCAAGCCCCATGACTGACGAGAGAGAGAGAGAGAGAGAGAGAGAGAGAGAGAGAGAGAGAGAGAGAGAGAGAGAGAGAGAGAGAGAGAGAGAGACCTACCCACCTAAAACAGATTCTCCCTGGGGAAGGCTCATGTACCTGTAATCCTAAACTCAGAGGGCTAAGATCTGAGGATCACAGCTCAAAGCCAGCCCAGACAGACAAATCTGAGGGAAATATCTCCAATAAACCAGCAAAAAGCTGGAAGTGGAGGGTGGTCAAGTAGTAGTGCACCAGCTAAGCAGACTGTAAGGTCCAGAGTTAAAATACCGATGCCAGCATATATGAGAGAAAGAGGGAGAGAGAGAAGGGAGAGAGAGAAATAATTGGATTATTGGAGCCACATTATGACGACTTTAAAACATAGGCAGTGACATTTAGATAGAATCCAGTCAGTAAGACTTAGTGAAAGCTTGCTAATATAGTAGTATGTAGATACTATGTAGATTATAAATCAAATTTATCTCCTGTCCTCAACAACTTAAAATTTAAGGGAGAAAATATGGTATACATAAAAGATGACAAGGTAACAAGTACCTTGAGGGGAAAACTAAAGAGCAGAGACTGGGATATAGTCCCACAAAGCAGTCCACAGCTGTTGAGCGGAATAAGTTATAGTGGTATGCCCCGTGGCAGGCAGCTTCTGCCAGGGCTCCCAGTGCCCTTCCCACCCCTCACGATTCACACCCGCCTGTAATGCACTCACACTGTGTGGGGGCTGCACACAGCAACCTCCTTGCAGTGAAGTGTCCTGCTGGGATGGGTTCATATGCCACAGAACAGCACGAGGCATCCACCTTGAATCCATCTCTCCTTGCTGCGTCTCACATGATAGGAAGACTGAGAGTAAAGTCTGGCCACAGCCAGTAAGATCCCCTCTCAGTTCAATAGCCTATACAAAAACACCATGGAAAGAAAAGGGGGTGGGTATGATAGAATGTGCCTGTACTTCAGGCTGGGCAGGAAGATCGTGAGTTTGAGATAAACCAGGGCTATAAAGCAAAACCCTGTCTTGAAATGACTATTTAAAAAAGAGGAAACACTAGTGTGAACACAAGGTTCAGAATGTTTCCCAGGAGTAAAGGACAGGTAAAGGAAAAGGACAGGAAATAAAGGAAATCATATAGTTGGTAAAGAATCTGGCTTTTAAACTAGCTCACCCAGAACAGGCAAGACACTGACACTAGGTTTTCAGAAGGAAGAAAATTCAGGAAGAAGAATCTAAAAGTACCAAATTAAAAATGCAAGGCATTTTAGGGGCTGAAGAAGTGGCTACCTTACACAACATAAACCATTCAAAATAAGCATGACATAGACTCATAAGAAGAGGCAAGAACTTAGTTTTTGTAGGTAACCAGAGAGGGGTTGCTTAAGGTTTTAGTGATGGAAATGAAATATAGTCGCATACTTGATCTCACAAGCCAAGGTACACAAACTGAACAGACAAGAGATGCAAGTTGACAGTTACCATGAAGAGAACAAGGGCTTTTTAATTCAGAGCTCATGCTGTCTCGGCTTTTTTTGCTCAAAACTGCTGCACTCTACCACTGGAGGCATGTCTCTATTTCTGGCTTTTTTTTTTTGGTCAGTCATGGGGCTTGAACTCTGGGCCTGGGCACTGTCTCTCAGTTCTTCAGCTCAAGGCAAGGCAAATGCTCTACCACTTGAGCCACAGCTCCACTTCTGGTTTTCTGGTGGATAATTGGAGATAAAAGTCTCATAGACTTTCTTGCCCTTTCCTGGCTTTGAACCATGATCCTCAGATCTCAGCCTTCTGAATAGCTAGGATTACAGGCATGAGCCACTGGTGCACAGCTTATTTCTTCTTTTTTTGTGGTTAACTGGAGATAAGAATATCTTGGATTTGTCTTTCTGGCTGGCTTTAAACATCAATCTTAAGACCTCAGCCCCCTGAGCAGTTAAGATTACAGGCATGAGCTATACATGCCTAGCTGTATTACTTTCTACATAAGAAAAAAAAATTCTGTGGTCAGGACTGGTGGCTCAAACCTGAAATCCTACTCAAGAGGCTGAGATCTGAGGATCATGGTTTGAAGCCAGCCCAGTGCTAGTCTTGAGCAAAAAGCTCCAAGGACAAGTGTCCAGGCTCTGAGTTCAAGCACCAGGACCAGAAGTCAGACAACAGACAGACAGACAGACAGACAGACACACACACACACACACACACACACACACACATACACACACACTCCCTGTGATCATGTAGCTTACATTCTATGAACAAAGAAAACAAATAACTTCAGACTGTTATGTTAAGTGTTTCACAAGAAAATGAACAGGATGAAATGTTAGGAAGTTATCAACAGTGAAGAGAAAAATATCAGCTGGGCACCGGTGGTCACGCCTGTAACCCTAGCTATTCAGGAGGCTGAGATCTGAGGATCATGGTTCAAAGCCAGCCTGGGCAGGAAAGTCCGTGAGACTCTTATCTCCAATAAAAACCCACTTGAAAACCGGAAGTGGCGCTGTGGCTCAAGCAGTAGAGCACTCGCCTTGAGCTGAAGAGCACAGGGACAGCGCCCAAGCCCAGAGTTCAAGCCCCACAACCGACCAAAAAAAAGAGAAAAAATATGAAATGGGAAGGTGATCAGCTGATATTGATGAAAGCCTCCGGAGAATGGAGCTTGTCAATTAGGGGTAAAGGGCCAGGTAACAGATACTTTAGGCTGCTGGGCCCTCCTGTATCACTACTCAGCTCTGCTGGTGGAACATAAGAATAGTGACAGACATAACGGAAATGAATGGGATGTGTTTGTGTTTAAAGAAAACATCATTTGCAAAACAGGTAGCAGCCTATAGGGCATAGTTTTCTGGTCGTATTTTTAAGGAGCAACAGTCCAAAGAGTACTAAAAACAAAACTGTCCTTTGATTCTATGGTGAGATAAAGGAAAGAAAAAAGCATAAGAGTGGAATGAAAGATAATCACAGTATGCACTGTCTTCTGCTAGAATCTAGGGGCTGAGAGTCTAGCTTACCCAGCACACTTGGTGCCCAAGATTCAACCCTGGCACTGCGCTCAACCAACCAACAAATAAATAATTGGTAGAATCTTAGAATTTCTCTAAGCCGGGCGCTGGTGGCTCACGCCTGTAATCCTAGCTACTCAGGAGGCTGAGATCTGAGGATCGCGGTTCAAAGCCAGCCCGGGCAGGAGAGACCGTGAGACTCCTATCTCCAATAAACCACCAGAAAACCGGAAGTGGCGCTGTAGCTCAAGTGGTAGAGCGCTCGCCTTGAGCTGAAGAGCTGAGGGACAGCGCCCAGGCCCAGAGTTCAAGCCCCACGACTGACCAAAAAAAAAAAAAAAGAATTTCTCTAGCTACTGTGGTCCTATGTTATTCTCTTCCTTCTACAAATGTTTATGCGTTTACAAACTGTTGTAGTCACTGTGATTATAAATAGTGGAAAAGCTAAATAAGACTGACTTGTAGATTACTTTTTCACATATTTTGTAAACACAGGAAGTTTAATGATGGAGATGGTATAGCAGCTCAAGAATAGAGAGAGTTCTAACATTTTAAGCTATGATACTTTGTATGCCAGACAAGAATGATGCATCAGGGGCTGGGAATGTGGCTCCGTGGTAGAGTGCTTGCCTAGCATGCATGAAGCCCTGGGTTGGATTCCTCAGTATCACATAAACAGAAAAAGCCAAAAGTGGCACTGTGGCTTAAGTGGTAGAGTGCTAGCCTTAAAAGAGAAGTTCAGGGACAGTGCCCGTGCCCTGTATTCAAGCCCCAAGACTGGCCAAAAAAAAAAAAAAAAAGACGTATCTAATTCTAACCAAAGGCTAGCACCTGGAAGAGACCATGAAGCTGAAGATGCTCGCATCTGAGGAAGATGGCCCTCTCAATCCATCTCCCAGAGGGAACAAATAAAGGGAAAGTTCTATAGCTTCATTGGCAGAATCCTCACCTTCATTTGGAGACAAATGGCAACTTACCAGTTCATCCGAACTGTTTAATGTTTGTTCATCAATCAGCAGAATAGTCCAGTACGAGTGTTTATGAGAGTAAGTATGGAGTCATTAGCAAGGATCACATCCTGCAGCAAAGGTCAGAGAAAGGTCAGAAGTCACAGAACATGTTGGTGACAATTCAGCCAACCAAGGAAGCTTACGCTTGTAATCCCAGCAATGAAGGACACTCTGTGACAAATACCTGAAGCAAGAAGAACTAGAGACATGGCGGAAGTAGTGGAGCACTTGTCTAGCAAGCTCACGGCCCTGAGCTCATATCCCACTACTATAAGTTTTGAAAAAAAGATACGTTATTTGGGGTAATAACAAATCAGAGGTTAGTCAGGGTAGAAATGGTCATGGTCCCGAATTCATTCGATTTCTCAGCCTAAATCAACAATGCCAGGGTTGAATTGAAGGATCCAAGGGTGGTGTGCAAAGGAGGCCTTAATGGGGCGGGGGGGGGGGGGGGGGGGGGGGGAGAGGCTGAGCATCCACACTGGGCTGAGGATGGGAGGATCCAGGCTTTCCCAGGAGACGTGAGGCGTCAAGGAGAGGGTGGCAGGAGTCTCCGGGAGGAAGACGACAAACCACCGGCCGGAGGCAATCGGGAGATGGGGAAAGACCTTTTAAGCCCATTGAATATTCCCTCCCCTCCCCTCCCCTCCCCTCCCCTCCCCTCCTCTCTCCTCCCCTCCCCTCCCCTCCCCTCCTCTCTCCTCCTCTCCCCTCCCCTCCCCTCCTCTCTCCTCTCTTTCTCTCTCTCTCCTACGGAATTCTCGCTGTCTGTCTGTCTGTCTGTCTGTCTGTCTGTCTGTCTGTCTGATAAATACGCTCTGCAGGATTTTCAGTCCCAGCTCCAGGACATCCTGGCGCTCCTCCACCTCCCGGCCCCCACACCAGGCTCTCCCGGCCTGGCAAGACGCAACCAAGGCCAGGCCTGGGGGCGAGGGAGGGGCACGGCGCCGAGAACCCCGAGGCCGGAGACCCCCGGGGTCAGCCCGGGCCTGCGTGGATGGCGGGGGGGGGGGAGGCTTCCACGGGGAAGGAGGGCTGCCGGGATCTGGTCCGAGGGGACGGGCGAGGCGCCGAGGGCGGCGGGCCCCGCCGCGGAAGCCCACCTTCCCGCAGCCCCCGGCGGGAGCGGGCTGGCGGGAAGAGGCCGGCCGGTCGGGCCTCGGCCCGCCGGGGGCACCCGCCCGCTCCCGCGCCCCGGCGCGCAGGGACCCCGACTCACCGCTAGCCGGGCCCGGGCCTGCGCGGTTACCATGGCGACGGCGCGCCGGGCGCTGCGCGCGCCCCCCCCCCCCCCCCGCGCCCTCCGCGGCTCGGGTGCGCGCCGAGGTCCCGCGGGCGAGGTGCGGGGCTCCCGGGGCGGAGGCGACCCCCGGGGACCACGCGCCCCAGGGCGCCTTTATTTTGTAAAAGGAAAGTGAGAAACCTGCACCGCGCCTGACTTTTGCAATCTTAGTAAAACAGCATTGACTACGAGGACGGCCGTGCTGACCCCGGAGGCTCGGGAACGCGGGAGGCGCCGCGTGCCTGCTCGCTGGACGTGGAAGAGGCATCTGAAAACTAGGAGTGTAGCTAGACCATCTTGCTTCTCCCCTGCCCCCCCCCTTGCACACGCGCGCACGCGCACACGCGCGCCCTGGGGTGGGCATCCGGGCCGGGGACCAGGCTCACCTACCTATCACGCATCTTCTGTGCGTAGGGGTCAAGGCGCATTTACTGACGCCAAGGCCCAGCTAGGTAGGAGCTGGAAGGCTTGACGACATCCCTGTCCACCAAGAACTGCACCCTGGGCCGGACCCTCGGGCCTGGGGTTTCCCCGGCTTGGCTTCTTGGCTTCCCAACTCTCAGCATTTAAGACCTTGTCTCTCCGCACTTGCACTTTTGTCGGTGTGTCTCACGAATAACTGCATTACAAAAAGACGCGAAAGCAGTGGGAAGCACAATCACCGGACAGAGGTGATCCTATTAATATTTGGTATACAACACACTAGGGTTTTGTATGCACATGTATAGCTGTTAATTTTTTTTTAATCAAGGAAATCATCCTGTAATACTTAGAATCAGCTTGTTTCATGGATTTTTCCCTCCCACACCTGCTGTTAAATTCACTATAATCTTGTATTTTAAAAAACGACAACAAAGCAAAAAAAAAACTCTCGATCTGTGAACTTAAGATCCAAGACACACCTTTTTGTGGGAGGTGGGGAAAGAAAGACTAGAGATAAACAACCAAGCTCCGCAGGCTCACTCAGTAAGTTACATAAATGTTCACATGAATCACAGAGGGCACACCAGGAAGTTTTTGTGTCCAAGGTGAGTGTAAAGTATTTGTTTTCTATGTCTACAAAGAAATCTTCAAGAAGGAGGTAAGAGTTTCGAGAGGCTGTAAATATTTAAGCTGAAGGCTTAATACCTTACTTATAAAAAATAAGCACTTGGCTCAAGGTCCATGTAAAAAAATCTAATCTTTTGAAAACTAAGACTATATCTGAATTTCTTCTGGTCCTAAGTGAGGGAGTGGCTTTAAAATTATCTAATTAATTACTCTAAGAAAGTACTCAGAAATTACTTTTAAGAAAGAATAATATCTTCTTATTGAAGAAAATTATTTGAGATAATATTATTGCTTGGAGTAGACATCTTCTAATATTTAACATCTGTCCAGGAGCAATCCTGTGGTGTTTCAAACCAGACTGAGCTGGGTTCAAATCCTGGTTCAGTTCTTTTGAGAGGGGGGAGGGTCTGGTTGTGGGGCCTGAATTCTGGGCCTGTGCGCTGTCCCTCAGCTCTTCAGCTCAAGGCTAGTGCTCTACCACTTGAGCCACAGCGCCACTTCCAGCTTTTTTCTTTTTTTGCTTATGTGGTGCTGAGGAATGGAACCCAGGGCCTCTGGCATGCAAGGCAAGTGCTCTACCACTGAGCCACCTTCCCAGCCCTTGGTTCAGTTCTTTTCTAGTCATGTGGGCCTAGGTAAATGATTCAGCTTTCTTGTCCAGTTTAAGAATAATGCTACCTTCACAGCATGGTTAGGAAGATTAAAGAAAATTTTTGAGTACTCGGTACACAATAGGCCTGCAAATGAGACCTAATTATTAACAAATTGGAGCACATAACGCTAGCTTAGAGTAACCCACTTCACCCCAACTAGTGTAACCACCTCTGGCCCTCCTTGGCCGCATCCTGGATGTACCACTTTCATCGGATAATGAATTGCCCCAGGGTCCATGACTCTAGGACTTGGTAGGTCTGATAAAACAAACCCAGCTCATGATGGGAAATTCTACTACATAGCTACTTGATGTTCTATACCAAACTAAGTCCACCTGTACCAGATACAGTGGGATGCCAGTTTGGGCTTTGGTTTTAATTGTCTCCAGTTCTCTGCAGCAGATGGCAGTCACCCTTACTCTCGAAGCCTAGGGGTCTAGAATGGAACTCCCATTGGGACTTGTCAAAATTTCCCCATAACATCTTTTTTCCCCTCACCATTGGATACTTATCTGTTGTCATATGGCACCTGCCCCCTAGACAGACTGAAAAGTCCTTTTTGCTTTGTGTGCTACTAAAAAACCAACAGTCTTTTAATTCATCTAGTCTATGAGTTGGAGCTGCTGCCTAGCTGCAGACTTGTTTGCAGTTAGAATCTAAGAAGAAATACCAGGCATTGTGGGAGGTACACAATGCAGCAATTGGTCCCATGTGGTCACAACATGCCTCAGACGGGGAGACCCTCTACAAGATTCACTGATAGAAAGGGCTCCAGGATAGGCACTGTCTCAGCCTTCCACCCTCTCAAGCACATGAGTCCTCTAAGTACCTCCAACATAGTATGCACATCTTAGCTTGGGGGTCTGGTTAGGACTGTGTTATTGACAATGTGATGTTTTATGGAATTTCTATCTGGTTTCGATCTATGCAGTTATATTGTAACTGGAGGGACAATACTCAAAGTGTCCATCCCAAGTGAATACTGCTAGGCTTTGACTACTTTCTTGAACCACTCTTGGTGCTAACTCTTGATGCTCCCTAGGAAGCATCTTGTGAGATGGAGTTTACTACACAAGGAACTTACCAGAGGGATTCTTGGGACCAACACCTGTGGAATGAAGGAGGCGAAAACAGGGTGGAAGGAGATGCTGGGGTACTGTGTAGTCTTAACAAGGGTCTCTGCAGCCCCACTGAGAAGCTCTAACGCTGGGATAGCATTTTTAAAGTGGCCCCAAGTTGGAGCAAGAGAACCATGCCTTTATATGCCTGTATCACCAGTGATGGATACTGGCTACTCCAAGCTGGGAGTTGAGACCTTGGACAGGCAGCTCTTTTCAGCCAAGGTTCTTTCCAGGAAGGGCTGATCAGTGACATTTCTCTGCTGGCAACTCTTCTAGAGTTTTTTTGGTCCCTTGTTCCTGGAAAATGTCTGGGGAACACATCAGCATTAAAGTCTATATTATCTATTTGATACACGGTTAGAGTCTTTTGCTTTCCAATATTCAGAAATTATTCCTTTCCTTTTTCTCTTTGGACTACATTTTGCTTTAAAATTGTTAAATGTTCATATAAAATAAGTACATAAAACCCCTACTCTCAATGAAACCTGACCTTGTTTTCTTTCCCTCTCTCTTTCTCTCTGTATCTATCACCTTTCTACTCTGATTTTTCCTTTCCTCAATCTATAAGGTTATCCATTATCATTGTTCATTATTAATTCTCCTTTATCTTTTTATTTTTAAATATGCAAGTAAAATTAGGCATGTATATACCTTTACACATTATATTTTTGCATACACCACCTCTTTTTGTACCAATTTTAAGGCCTTAAACTCAGGACCTGGGCCTGGTCTCTAAGCTTTTTTGCTCAAAGCTAGCACTCTACCACTTGAGCCACAGCTCCACTTCCAACCTAATTGGAAATAAGTCTTATGAACTTTCCCTACCTGGGTTGGCTTCTGTGATCCTCAGATCTCAGCCTCCTGAGTTGCTAAAATTACAGACACGAGCTACCAACACCAGGCCTTTTTTTTTTCTTTTTCCTTTACATGCTGGGAATCAAATCCAGAGTCTTGTGCATGCTAGGCAAGTTCTTCAGTCCTCAAATCCTTTCTTAAAGCAAAGTTAGTCTGCTGAAAATGCTTCTCTTGGCACTATAGTTGGATATTGCCCAGAAGTCCTTGTGTGAAAGGCTGTGTCCTCAGGGTGAGTTTGGAAGGTGGGACATTGGGGAGGTCCTTAGATCTTTAGGGTCAGACCCCACCTGTCCAAACTTTTTCTTTACACCCAGACATGAGTTGCTGGGCATACCAACATATGTTCCTGCCATGATGTGCGGCCTCCCCACAGGCTCAGACAGATATGGAGCCATTGACCATTGATCTTGGACTTCTAATCTGTGAGCCAAAGTGAAACTTGCCTTTTTTCATAAATTAATTATATCAAGTTTTTCACTATAGTGATTTAAAAAAAAGCTGGCAAAGACACTTTAGGTTTCTATCACTGCCAACATGCTTGAAGAGTATGATACATGTTTTAATAGGTCTTTCTTGTTTCTTTATTATTTTTTTAAATCGCCGAGGTTCTGAGTGCTCTATATAGTTTTTTGTGTTTTTTTTGTCGGTCGTGGGGCTTGAACTCTGGGCCTGGGCGTTGTCCCTCAGCTCTTCAACTCAAGGCGAGCGCTCTACCACTTGAGCTACAACGCCACTTCTTGTTTCTTTATATAGTTGCATAGTACTTATTTTATAGATATCCCATAGCTTATATAATAGTCTCCTATTAAGAGGCTTTTAGATTATCTGTATTTTTGTGCTGTTACAAAGAATCTTGCAGCAAATAAACTTGTGCATGCCTTATTTTAATTCTTCTTTTTCTATTTACCTTTTTTCTTTTCCCAAATTTCCTTCATAAAACAGATTGTTACAAAAATTGGTAACTCAAAGAGTGAATGCCAATGTAGTGACCTAGATCTTGACAAATCCTCCTTCATAGAAGTTCTATCATTGTGCACACACACACACACACACACACACACACACACACACACACACAGCAACAGCAAAGTCAGGTCAATAAAGCAGGTTGTCCAGTCTGGAATAGTCTTTCATGATTCACAGGTGATACAGAGGTCCCAATATAGCTATAATTGCCATCTGTCTTGTTGTAAGCAAAAGTGAACATTTTTTTAAGTGATGAATGGTAGAAGTGAGGTAGGGATGTAACTCATAGGTAGAGTACTTGCCCAGAATGTTAGGCCCTAGGTTCAGTCCCCAGAACTGCAGAAGAAAAAGGAGAGAGCATTTTCAGTCTGTGTTTTGAAACAGGATTCTTCTATGTAGTACAGACTGGCCTTGAACTTGAAAATTCCCCTGCCTTAATTTCTTAAGTTCTGGAATTATAGGCATGTATCACCACGTTTGGCATTGCATCTTCTATCCTGACTTACCCAGCTTAACTCCAAACATGCAATGCTTTTCACATAATTTTAGAAGTCTAGTTTCTTTCAAGAATGCTTTACAGTTTTCCTCATAGAGTTCCTATAACTAATAACTTGTTCACAGGTTATAACAACTCAAGTTTCATAAGTATGAGGACCCAGAATGACCAATGATTGCTTGAGATTGCAGGGTGCCTTCTGGCACCTCTATGAGCGTTCCCCTATATACTCTATACTATATAGTATATACTTCTTGTCTTTGTCCATTTTGTGTTATTATAACAAAATTCCTGAGGCTGGACACTTTATAAAGCAAAGAGTTCGTTGTGGTCACAATTCTGGTAGCTGAAAGGTCAAGAGTCTGGCATCTTGCATTAGAATATAACAAAGAAACAGAAAGGGAAATGGCAGTGTGCAAAACTGACCAAACATAGAGGAGTCAGAAAGCAACAGAGACGTCTTCAAGGCTGCCCATTTCCCCATCACTATCACTCTGCATAGCGCTTTCAGTTATATCTAGCTGTGATTAAGCAACTGTGTCATTTGTGTCTCCTCAAGAATGGTGACCCACAAAACAAGGGCTCTGTGGGTCTTGTTTCTCATGAACTGTGGGTCCCAGAACAGTATTGAATACACGATGAAGACATGGTTTCTGATGGACATGCTATGAGCCAAGTTCTGCAGCTCCTGAAGACTTGCTTGGCTGTTGTCACAGCCTCACACACAATCCAGATCAAATCTGTCTTAGGTTTATTTTCAACTAGAGATTCAGGTTCCTCCAAAGGCCTCATCTTACTGGGATGACAACAGTCCTGAAATCTAGCAAATACCAGCTTTATCATCTGCCTATTTCTGAATGGCGTTCCCTAGGCCTTGAAATAAATAGAAAGAGTTGAATTGTTCCACTTCATAAAGAAATAGAGTAACAGAAGTCCAATCCAGATTGTAGTGGGCTAGAGAGTGAATCAGATTTTCAAAAACAGGAAAGACTGTTCTTATTCTGGCCAAGAGTTTAAAAAGCAGCCTTTGTGGGAGTTGGGGTAGGATTCAAATGGTAGTTCTCTAGTTTAGAAAGCATGTGGATCTGAGTTCAACATTCAGTATCCAAATAAGTAAATAGTGTGATCTATGTAAAATGAATTACCAGTCTTTGATTACTAGTATTCCTTAATGTTTATATCTTCCTAATTAATGTAATTTGCAAATATAAGTAATTTCAATTGTTCACATTTTTGAAGAAGCTAAGAGTCACTTTAAAGACATCTTTGACTATAGGCAATTCACGCCAGAGAAATCTTAATACCATAACTGCACATATGTGTACATATGTACATATAAACATGTTTCTCTAATAACCAGAAAAATGTACATCTAAGTCATTTTATGCCTATCTGATTGGTTAAAAAAATGTAAAGTTGCCCAACAATTATAAACTACTAAAAACTTCATTTCATACAATTAAAAATACAATCAAAATGCTGATAATAGATTCTTCCTCAAGATAACTAGTACTATTACATTAGCTTATCAGCTAATATATCATGGTACATCAAGTATTTGTATTAAAACAGAACTTTAGTGAGTAATTTGATTAGTTCTAGTAAAGATGAACCTGTGCAAAGCACACTCAATGATTTTACTTTTAGGTGCATACCCTAGAGAGACTCTTAAGGTATACAAGGCATACACAAGATTTTACATTGTATCATTGTTTGTAATGGAGAAAAGTGGAAACAGTTAAAATATCCAATCTTTGGGTGAATTGGAAAAATAAAAGCCTGGGGTATGAGACTTAGCCACCAAAGATGAAAATGCTGTGAGACCAAACAAAAATCCAGGATTTCACCAAGGACAATTTGCTAAGGCCTACGGTCAAAGATGTAGTGATGTGGAAGCAGAACAGGAAGATCCCTCCGCTCCAAGGCTGGAAGGAGTTTATAGCTGAGTTGGACAAAGGTGATCCATGGCAACCAGGATGCACTTGACTTTTCTTAAAAAACTATTAACATGTTACATGTCATTTAAGAAAGAGTCTGGACATCAGTGGTCTGTACAACACACCAAGCTGCCTATTCTAATAATAGCAAACTATTATTATTAGAATATTATCAATTTTATCAGCAAAATGAGAATGTCATTCTAATGATATTAGATTAGTACTAGCTATTAATAATAGCTGACTGTTCTAATAATATTCTTGTCCTTTAGGGCTTGGGATGCCTGCTAGAGTCCCATGAGAAAGATGGTGGTTACAATCAAGGTGACTGAGGTTATGTCAAGCTGATTCCCCATAGTACAATAAGGATTTTTAAATAGCAGTGAAAATACATTTATGTTGTGGTTCTCAAACTTTAATGTGCATTATGATCACCTGAAATATATCTTAGATGACCAGAATCTGCCTTTGGATTTTCTGTTTAGTATGCCTGTGATGGGGCCAACAACCTGATTTCCCAAAATGATGTTGACACAACTAGCCCAGGGCCAGTCTGTCGGTTGGTGGTACAGGATGCCTAGTGCTCCATGAGCTTATTGCCCACGGCTGGCCACTTTAATAATCACTAAATGGGTTGTTCATTGGTCAACAGGGACAAATATTAAAAACGGGATATTAAGTGGAAACCGGAAGTTGCAGAAAAATGTAAGCATTTCCTATCATTTATGTAGCTTTAAAAATGGGAATGATGGTATGACTACATAAACTATTTACTATATAGCACATATGCTTGTAAGTATTTGGCCAGGATTACAAGTAGCCAGCCAGTCAGACTGGAACCTGAGGACGTCTAGACTTCCAGGCTCCACATTTCCCACCACAAGCAGAAAGGGCAATCTGGAACTCCAAGGTGGAGTCTTCAACGCTGTGCTGCAGGAAATCTGGAAAGTCGGGTCTGGTTCTACCTTTTCAGAACTTATGGGATAAGCCGGATAGATACAAGTCAGTAATTCAACCCACAACAGGGACAGCACGGGGCCCAAATGGAGACCCACCAGCCACAACAAAATCCCGCGCTTTCCGTGACCATTCCCACCTTCCCATCGCTTTTCCGGGGGGCGGGAAGTGGGGGGGTGGGCAGAACGGAAGAAAACTTCCACATCTGAACGCCGCCGGCACAGCCACGCGCTTCAGGCGGACCGCTCGCGGCCCCAGCCCCCAAAGGCAAAGGGTCGCTCGCGCCACCGGAAACGCCAGCGAAAAGGAGCGGCCACGTCCGGAAGCCGCTCCGGAACGTGTTGCCAGACCCGGTGAAGTTCCGCGGGAAGGATTTGGGCGTGGGACCGCTTCCTTCTCCCGGTTTGGGGCGGGGGGGCGGGGAAAGGAAATCGCCGGAGGAGCGGCGTCCTGCCTGGGCTGGCGGCTGGCGGCGCTGGGGGCCGGGGCGCGCGGAGGGCGGCGGCGGCGGCGGCGGCGGCGGCGGCGGCGGGAGGGGCTGAGGCGGCGGAGCCGGTGAGCGAAGGGCGTTGGAGCCGGGCGCGGCGCGGCGCACGCCGGCTCGCCCTGTGCAAGCCTGCGGGCTGCCCGCTGCCCAGCTGCCCGAGCGGGTCTGGGAAGTGCTTTGTGGGTCGCCTGTCAGTCGGCGCACGGAAGGGGCTCTGAGGGCACCGGGGTCTCCCAAGTCGGCTGGGGGACAGCCCCGCCCCGAAGCCGCCAGAGGCTGCAGGTTGCCCCTTCCCGGAGCGGCTGCGGCTCGCACTCTGACAGCTGCCCCAGGCTGTGTGTGGAATTGGGGGTTGGGGGGAGTAAGACTCCCCTTATCCCCCCCCCCCGCCTCCCGCCACAGCTGAAGCCTCAGAACATGGCGGGATCGTGGGTGGTTGAACGGTATTTCGTGGGCTGAGGGAAGGGCTCGTGAGGCGTGTTCTAAGGAGCCACACTTCCCCGGCTCTGTTCACGCCTCCCCAGCTTTCAAGACAGATTTCTCCCCCTTCTCCTCACGTCACTTCGGGACAGTTTGACACCCTGCCGATCAGTTGTTTCAAAGCCTGCTTCCCTCCCCGATTAGTAATGCTGAGGGTATTAAGTGATTGCCCGGTAATTATTCTTGATGGCCAAGGCGCCTAGGCTCGAGCCTGTGATCGTAGCTGACATCTATGGATGGTAGTTCTAAGCCCGCCTGGGCAGCTCTCTCTTGGGAGATTCCTATCTGCAACTAGCTACTTATATTTAGCGCACTTACCCTCTGCTTCACACGTAAAGTGTAGACATCCCTAGCCAGAGATAGTCATCTTAAAGGCACCAGATTCCGTTACGGTCGTGAATCTCCAAAAGGCCCGTGGCATACTGGAATATAAAATTCTTGATTACTGACGAAATGAGTGAAAAGACTGCAGACGCTCTTATCAGAAATAGCTTTTATTAAGTTGCTGCTTTTCTGTTTTAGGTGTGGCTGTAAAGTGTGGTGCAAGGTACTTTTCGTGGTGCATGGAAGGAAAGCCAATGCGCAGGTAGGCATTTAGAAAGAAAACCATTGGTTTCTCTGGTTGAAATTCACTTAACTCAATACTTCATTTAAATTTTTTTTAAAAAAAGGATTCTCACATCTTACTAAATTCTGCTTGGAACTAATGATTCTTATTCTAAAATACATCAAAGGTATTATCAGAAATCAGGAGCATTTAACACACTAAAATGTAGATTTAAGTTAGATTTCTGAGTGTTTTGTGTGATTCATTATTAATGCCCCAATTTTTCTTCTTGTGTAGTATTGTGTGATAAGGGTACTATGATACTATGTGAATTTATTATAATGTTAATTCCATACAGAACACAAGAGTATTCTGTTTCCAGATAAGAATGATACTCATTTATAATAACACTGTACTAATACCTAATTATAGTTTTAGTTATTTCACTGGTGTTCAATAATATATTTGTTCTTTTCATTAAAATAGCTGCATTGCAGAGGAAGATTCAGGATGATAAAGACATAGAAAAATAGAAGTGTGTGAGAACATATAGACAATTACATGTCCTAATTACTCTAGAATTTAGTAATGCTTCTCAATCTGTGCTAACAAATGAGAGTAGAATCTTATTTAAACAATCAGACAACTTCTGGTTCTTTATTGTTTAAACTCATTTTATAGTTATTGAACTCTAATCACTTGTTCTTGTCCAATGTTAAACAACTCTTAGAGACATTTAAGAGAAGAAATATTTATGGTTCAAAGTAGCAGGAAGGGCTTGGTGTAGTGGCATACACCTGTAATTTCCCAGCACTCAGAAGGATGGAGAATTATATGCTAGCCTGAACTACATAGTTGAGACCCTGGTTTTGGAGCAACAGTCACAAAACATACATCCTTTTCCACATCTATAATTGATATATCTGTTGACCTTGAGCTGTTTATCTTCTCTATACTCCAGTTTACTTGTCTGGTATATCTGACCAGGGTATTGGAATTTAATGAATGTTTTCAAATGCTTTGAGATGTTCAAATGGAAAGATTTTGTGAAGATGACAGATTCTACTATCTTATTTGTATCTTACTCTGTAGAGGGAATAATATTAGACTGTAAAGTACTTGAAGAAATTAACAACATAAACATTAAATGTTTCATCATTTCTAACAATGATTGCAGAAGCCACTGAGTGCTTTTCATCGCCAGCTGCTTTTCATATTCAGATGCGATAAATGCCATATCTTATGTAATTGCTAAAATAAGAGCTTACTTTCTAAGGAAAAGGTAGCATGTAGGAATCTTTTTGGTTTATTAGTAGTTTCCATATAAAGTATTCACTTAATCACTCAGACCTGGTTATTTTTGCTCTATTACATAATGGTGTCCATTATTCAAAATCATGTTGGATAATTCTAGTGCTATTAATTCTTAAGTTACATTTCTTCATCGCTTTATTACTTCACAAGGGGCTAACCTACACTTTACTAGTCTGACTTTCATCTGCTATGTACGTTAAGTTATAGTAACACTTCCCTACCCTTCCTCATTGAGCTGTTCATTTTTGATGCTATAATCTAGAAGACAGTCTCCGTAAAATATTGTTGGGTTAATATTGAAGAAGTTTTGAATGAGAAATAACTCTTTATATTAAGATTATTTGAATAGATACTAATTCTCCATACTAGATTGTAACCTCTTCTATGTCTCATATGTCTTTAAGTATTTGTACTCCAAACACCTACTTTTTTTCTGACCCCTCCCCCCAAAAAAAATCTAGAGAAAAGATTGAAAATCTTTGCGAAAGTTATTTTTACACTCGTGTTCATTAAAAAGTCTTTTTAATTGTATATATTTATGAGTTAGAATGTGATCATTCAGTACCGTTATTATAGCCATTAACTAAAACAGTATGTAAATTCCTCATGAAAACTAAAAATAGAACTGCTGTGTGGTCCAGCTATGCCATTATTGGGTATATATCTAAAGGAAATAAAATTAGTAGATCAGAGTGATACCTGATCAGCACTAGTCACAATAGCCAAGATATAGAATCAACCACAGTATCCATATATGGTGAATGGATAAAGAAAAACATGAAAAAAGAATGCACACACAAAGGAATATTATTCAGCCATAAAATAGAATATCATTTTGCTGTCACTTGCAGCAATCCAGACGAAACTAGAGTATATTAAGTGAAATAATCCAGGCATAGATGACAGATATTACATATCATCACTCAAACGTGGAAGCTAAAAAAAATCATTTCATACGAGAAAAGAACAGAGGCCATGCCTGGTGGCTCACACTTGCCATTGTAGCTACTCCAGAGGTAGAGGAGATTGGAAGGAACCCTGTTCAAGGCCCGTCCATGGAGGTTGGAGGTGTGGCTCAGTTGTTAGATCACTAGCCAGAAAGAAAAAGTGTCAGATTCTGAATTTGATTCTTGGTCTAGGAAGGGAGGGAAGGAGGAACAGAAGGAAGAGTCGGGGCGCTGGTGGCTCACGCCTGTAATCCTAGCCACTCAGGAGGCTGAGATCTGAGAATCACAGTTCAAAGCCAGCTGTGAGACTCTTATCTCCAATAAACCACTAGAAAACCGGAAGTGGCCCTGTGGCTCTAACTGTAGAGCGCTCACCTTAAGCTGAAGAGTACAAGGACAATGCCTAAGCTCAGAGTTCAAGCCCTATACGACCAACAACAAAAGAAAAGGAACACAGGAGGAAGGAAGGGCGGAAGGAAGGAAAGGGAGGGAGGGAGGGAAAGATAGGAGGGGAGGGGAGGGGGGGAAGGGGAAGGGGAAAGAGGGAGGGAAGGAAGACCAGCCAGCAAAAAGTTCCTGAGTCCTCATCTCAGTAATAAGGTGAGCATGAGACCTCATAGTGATATTTCTTTTTTTTTAACGAAGGTGTAAAGTGCTTGGAAGAGCTGGGGCTGGAACCCAGGACCTGCAAAGGTGCTGAGCACACATCTACCACTAAGCTACACTTCAACCTGGAATTTATTTTTATTTATTTATTTTTTTGGTCCAGTCATGGAGCCTGAACTCTGGGCCTAGGCACTGTCCCTCAGCTCTTCAGCTCAAGGCTAGCGCTCTACCACTTGAACCACAGCGCCACTTCCGGCTTTTTTTTTTTTTGCTTATGTGGTGCTGAGGAATGGAACCCAGGGCCTCATGCATGCAAGGCAAGCGCTCTACCACTGAGCCACCTTCCCAGCCCTCATAGTGACATTTCTATACGTGCACACAGTATACTTTGAATCCCTGGGTATATTTTCAACTTTTCTAAAAAGTATAAAAATCACTACATGATTGTGTACAATATAAAATCTGTAACATAGGGGCTGGGAAGGTAGCTCAGCGGTAGAGTGCTTGCCTTGCATGCATGAGGCTCTGGGTTCGATTCCTCAGCACCACATAAAGCAGAAAAAACAGGAAGTGGCACTATGGCTCCAGTGATAGAATGCTAGCATTGAGCTGAAGAGCTGAGGGACAGCGCCCAGGCCCAGAGTTCAGGCCCCACGACCGACAAAAAATAAAATAGAAATATCACTATGAGCTGGAATGTGACAGTGGTAGAGTGCTTGCCTAGCATGCATGAAACCCTGGGTTTGATTCCTCAGTACTACATAAACAGAAAAAGCTGAAAGTGGTGCTGTGGCTCGAGTGGTAGAGTGCTAGCTTTGAGTAAAATAAGCTCAGGGACTGTGCACAGGCCCTGAATTCAAGCCCCAGGACTGACAAAAAAGAAAAAAAATCACTACGAAACCCCTTCGTGCTACAAATACATGTTAAATTACAATAAAAGTTAACTAGTGAAACTGAGAAATGAACATCAGCTGTTTTTGGAATAGTAAATACAAGATTTAAGTTAAATCAGGCTTGTGAATTAAAATTCATAGTCTACTCTGTGGACAGAGAATTATTTTTAAATGCTTTTTATAAAATTTTATTAATATTGCAAGAGCTATAGCACAAGACAGTGTGATACTTTGTAAAAGAAGATCCTTTTATGGGATTGTGTAATGAAAGTGGTCTGCTTTGGAAATAATAACATGCAACTTTTAAGAGACTTTGAGAAAGCTTATGACACATAAGTTCTTAGAAAAGGAATTTCTTCTTTACATAATTGCAGATTTTCTAGACTCTTGACCTATAAGCACTTTTATGTAGAAAAGGATTTATAGTAATATTGCTACCTTCTCTCCTGCTCATTTATTGTAGGTGTACCAACATTCGACCAGGAGAGACTGGAATGGATGTAACAAGCCGCTGCACCCTTGGAGACCCCAACAAACTGCCAGAAGGGGTTCCCCAACCTGCCCGCATGCCCTATATTTCAGACAAGCACCCTCGGCAAACCTTGGAAGTGATTAACCTTCTGAGAAAGCATCGGGAGCTGTGTGATGTGGTGTTGGTGGTGGGTGCTAAGAAGATCTATGCCCATCGAGTCATCCTGTCGGCCTGTAGTCCCTACTTCCGAGCTATGTTTACCGGAGAGCTGGCAGAAAGCCGGCAGACAGAGGTAGTAATCCGAGACATAGATGAGAGAGCTATGGAACTACTGATTGACTTTGCATATACTTCCCAGATAACTGTAGAAGAAGGCAATGTTCAGACCCTTTTACCAGCTGCTTGCCTCCTCCAGCTGGCAGAAATACAGGAAGCCTGTTGTGAATTTCTGAAGAGACAATTAGATCCTTCTAACTGCCTGGGCATTCGGGCTTTTGCTGACACACATTCTTGCCGTGAATTACTAAGGATAGCAGATAAGTTCACTCAGCACAACTTTCAAGAGGTGAGTTGTACTTTGTGGTTTCAGTGCAGTCAAACCTATTTGTCAGACGGGCAATGTGGATTGAGATTCTGCAGACAGACACCTGTCTGGGCATTTGTTGCTGATTCTAACTCATAATATCAAAGCATTAAGTCGCTATAAATTCTTTTTTTTTTTTGGGGTCCGGTCGTGGGGCCTGAACTCTGGGCCTGGGCGCTGTCCCTCAGCTCTTCAGCTCAAGGCTAGCTCTCTACCACTTGAGCCACAGTTGCTATAAATTCTAAACCTGGTTTTTATGTTAAAGGTCAGTTTTGTATTCTGCTAGCAAAAGTTATTTCCCTTGAGCCATAGTCCTAAAAGGGTATTTATAATCCAAGAAAATGATTTATTAATTTTATTAGAGGATCTGGACTTGTTAGGATACCTGGTAGTAGTCAGCTGTGAGTTACGATGGATGTGAGCAAATAGTTCCTATCAATCATCTATTACTGGTTGCAATGTTCAATTCCCACCATACAGAATTAACAAAACTATGTATGCAGTTAAGCTTTGACTCTGTAATCCATTTCTAGAAATTTATCCTGAAAATAATGTCTAACAATACTGAAATGTTCATATAGTAGGCCACGAATCATGGCATTATTTTTATGGCAAAATATTAAAAATGACCTAAATGTTCAAATAAACTGGAACATCTGCACAATGCACCTATGAAGAAAGAAGGAAGACTTCCGAACTAAGGGAATTAATTCCAGACTACACCAAGTTAATAGACAAAGTACAACAGAATTAAGCCGGGCCCTAATGGCACACACCTGTAAATCCTAGCTACTCAGCAGGCTGAGTTCTGAAGATTATGGTTCAGAACTAGGTCAGGCAGGAAAGTTTGAGACTCTTATCTTCAATTAAACACCAAAAAGCCAGAAATAGAGTTGTCACTCAAGTGGGAGAGCAGTAGCCTTGAGCAAGTAAAGCTCGGGGAGATGACCCAGGCCCTGAGTTCAATTCCCCTCCCCCCCAAAAAAAGTACAACAGAATTGTTCCTCATGCTACCTTTTGTGTAGGAAAGAAATGGAAATAAGATTGGAAATAAGAGTGGAAAAAAAGCTCATGTGGTCAAGGCTTTGTCCCCAGTGCAGCAGTATTTCAAGGTGGGGCTTTTGTGAAGGCTCTGACTTAATGAACTACTCCACTAATGGATTTATAACTTAATGGATATTGGGAGGCATGGAAACTTGAGGAGGGTAGGCTCCAGCTGGGGGAAATAGGTGATGAGGAGTGCCTTTGAAGAGTCTGATCACCTTCCCCACCTTTCTGGCTGTCACGAGGAGTAGCAGCTTTCCTGTTGTGTATGTCTGCCATGATGTTCCACCTCGACATAGGTCCATAGCATTGCAGCCAAGCAGCCGTGGAATAGAGCATGTGAAATCACAGGCAGAAATCAGCCTTTCTTCTTTAACGTTTATCTCAGTTGTATTGTCACAGCTATGAAAAACTAACACAGTGGCTTTCTCTATAACTTGGGGAATTCTTTAAAATTCTCTTTCAAAATCCAAATGCAGGAAAAGGAAAGACTGACATGTTTGACACTCTTTTGAGGTGTCAAAAAAAGACTAAAAACCTAATAGAATAATGGGGAAAATGCATTAAACCATAATCAACAAGATATACAAAAGACATTCAACTTTAGATATTTTCTTTCTTCCTTGCTTGCTTGCTTCTTGTTGTTGTTGGTCATGAGGCTTGAACTTGGGGCCTGGGCACTGTCCCTGGCCCTTTCACTCAAGACTAGTGCTCTACCACTTTGAGCCACAGCACCACTTCCAGTTTTCTAAGAGATAAGAGTCTCATGGACTTTCCTGCCTGGCTGGCTTTGAACTGGAATCCTCAGATCTCAGCCTCCTGAGTAGCTAGGATTATAGGTATGAGCCACCAATGCCTGCCAGGTTTTTTTTGTTTTTTGGTCTGTTGTGGGGCTTGAACTCTGGGCCTGGGTGCTGTCCTTGAGCTCTTTAGGGACTACCACTGGAGCCACAGCGTCACTTCCGGTTTTCTGGTGGTTAATTGGAGATAAGAGTCTCAAGGATGTGCCTGCCTGGGCTGGCTTTGAACCTCGATCCTCAGATCTCAGCCTCCTGAATGAGCCACTGGTGCCCGGTGCTTTTTTTAAGTCAGGGTTCTATGTAGAACCAGGCTGGCCTGGAACTTGTTATCATCCTGTTCTCAAACAAAAAAGTACTGGGATTATATGTATAGCTACCATGTCTGACCTAACTTTATTTTTATTTTATTTTTCCATTTATTCTTTCATGTTGTTAAAAATAATTTTCTATGTCCCTGGCTCTCTGAATAATTAGCAGTATAGATTCATAGACTATTTAGTAGATTATAGTACTGTGTTATCATTTATTATTCGATGCTTTGTAGATTCTAATTTATCTTTCCTGGATTTCCTTTTGCAAAATTAAGAGGGATTACTGGCATGATCCACCACGCCTGACCTTCACCATAATATCTTCTAATTGGTTAATCGATAGGAAAGTTACTGAGATTTTTTTTGAGATACTTTTATCATTGAGTCTAGACTTTTCTTGGCATTCTGTCAGATCAGATACATACCAGTAGTTTTATTTATTTTACAATCCGTGACTCAATTCTTTTCTCTAATTGCTTGAGCTAATACTACTAATAAAATGTTATATAGTAATGGAATTAATGAATCTAATTCCTTTGTTTTCAACATGAATAAGATTGTCTCTAATGTTTACCTATTGAGTAATATACTGGCTATAGGAGAGGGGTAAATATTTTTTTTTAAGGAAGAATCAATGCCTAACAACCCTTATTTCCTGGGTACTTTTCCTTTTTTTTTTTTTTATTAGCAATAGTGTTGAATTTTCTTTTTCTTTTATTGGGTCCGGTCGTGGGGCCTGAACTCTGGGCCTGGCTCTTCAGCTCAAGGCTAGCTCTCTACCACTTGAGACACAGCACCACTTCCGGCTTTTTTTTTCCTTTTTTTGCTTATGTGGTGCTGGGGAATCGAACCCAGGACCTCAGGCATGCAAGGAAAGCGCTCTACCACTGAGCCACCTTCCCAGCCCTAGTGTTGAATTTTTGTCAAAAGCTTTTTCAAAAGCCAGGAAATGTAGTGTAAGCCTGTAAAACCTATACTCAGGAGACTAAGGCAGGAGAACCCCAAGTTCAAGTCCAGTCTAGCCTACATTGTGAGAAAACAAAGAAAGGCTTTTTCAGTATTTATGGAAGTGATCATGAATTTTCTTCTTGAATCTGTAAATTATATTCTGTGAATTACAGAATGGGACCTTTGAATAGTTGGGAAACAGCTATTGATGCTAATGGAATCTTTAAAAATCTATTTATAATACCTAATACTTTATCCTTACACTGATATCTGTAAGTATATTAATCTCTAATTTCCTTGAGCTAACTTTATCAAGTTATCTTCTTTCCTGAGGAAGTTGTACTTCATGAAGAGGAGTTGTTTTCCCTTACTTTCCATATTGTGAAATCATTTATGCAATATTAGGACCATATGACTCCTAATAGTTTAGTAGAATTTTCCTATGAAACAGTCTATCTAGACTCAATTTATTTTGTGTGTGTATAAATTATCTGTATAGACAGAAAAATCACCTTTAAGTTTTTGTACAATGGTTATTTGGTAACTCACCCTGGATTTTTGTTAAGTTTTGGAAGGTTTTTGTTTTGTTACTGGAGGGGAGAGGGTTGAGTTAGCGTCTGACTGTGGACCAAGCTAGCCTTGAACTCATGGTCCTAGTGCCTCCCAAACTGAGTTACAGAAATGTACCACCATGCCTATCTGTCCCTGGATGTTTTGTATATGTGTACTTTCAGAGTTTCTGTCCTCAGTTGAAAAACTACTAGTGATCTATTTTGTTAATATTTTTCAAACAGTCGGGGTTTGGGGGTGGGGGGTGGGGTGGGAGGTTGGTCTCAGGGCTTGAACTGAGGGCCTGGGCACGGACCCTGAACTCTTTTGCTCAAGACTGAAATCACTTTGAGCCACAGCACCACTTCCAGATTTCTGGTGGCTAATTGGAGATGGGAGCCTTACAGACTTTCCTGCCTGAGCTGGGCTAGCTTTGAACTGAGATCCTCAGATCTCAGACTCCTGGGTAGCTAGGATTACAGGTGTGAGCCACCAACGACTGGCTAAGTCAGGATTTTAACTTATTAGTTCAGTCTACTTCTTTATTTCCGTTACATTCTGGCTTTACCTTGTTTCCTTTCTTTGTGCTCTATTTTAGCTTACTGTGTTTTTTATTTTATCCCCTTGCTATTTGAGTGATAGAATGGATGCCTAGAATGTTCTCCAGGTCCTGGATTCAATTCCCAGTATGAAGAGGGAAGGCTGAGGGTGGGAAGGGAGAGAAGGGAAAAGAGAGGGAAGAGAAAAGAAGTAGAGGGGACCAGGTATATGACTCGTGTAGAGCCCTAAATTCAAACCTCAGTACTGCTGAAAGGAAAACACAAGCACCCATGGGGAATTTTATCAAGCACTTAAAGAAGTTTTCTGTCTCAGAAAAAGGAGGGCATTGCCAATTCATTTTATAAGGACAAAATTACCACAAACGTGAAAAGAAAATTGGAGATCCAAAGTAGAAAAGTAGAAAGACCATTACTAAGTGGGACTTCTACCTTGCTTGATTGATAGAATCCTTACTTCATAGTCTGTATCTCACTCAAAGTAACCTAACTTCTTCAGCTGACTTATAGTTAATTTCCTTTCACTATTTCAAATATCAAATCCACACTCCAAAAGTAAAGATTTGCCATCATTGACGATTTTCAAAATTATATGTCAAATGACCCCCACATTGGTTTGGTTTGATTTGGATTGGCAACCATACCACAGAGAAAGTAAAATACAACCATTCTGATTACGCCAGGTGCTAGTGGCTTACACCTGTAATCTTAGCTAATAAGAAGGTTAAGATCTGAGGATCATGGTTCAAAGTCAACCCCAGGCAGTCATGAGACTTTTATCTCCAATAAACTGTTTTCAAAAAAAGCTCAGGGACAGTGTCCAGGCCCCGACTTTCAACCCATGACTAGAGCTCATTCATTCTCTCTCTCTCTCTCTCTCTCTCTCCCACACTCTGTCTCTCTCTCTCTCTCTCTCTCTCTCTCTCTCTCTCTCACACACACACACACACACACACACACACAAACAATTTCTGAATTATCTAGTTCCCTATTTAATTTCCTGAACCCTACAAAGTCTTTCATTCAAATAATTACAGTACTGGTGCCATAAAATGTAGTATTTAACCTAATGACCCTTGTGTTTTCTACTTTGAGAACTACATTTTTTTTCAATGTATTTGAGGAAGATATTCTTTTTTTTTTGGTCAGTCATGGGGCTTGAACTCTGGGCCTGGGCACTGTCCCTCAGCTCTTCAGCTCAAGGTGAGCACTCTATCACTTGAGCCACAGCGTGCCACTTCCAATTTTCTGGTGGTTTAAAAGTCTCAGGGACTTTTCCTGCCTGCGCTGGCTTTGAACTGTGATCTTCAGATCTCAGCCTCCTGAGTAGCTAGGATTGCAAGCATGAGCCACCAGTGCCCTGCAGAAGAAGATATTCTTCATTACATATTTAAGTAAATGTTGTGGCCTATGTCATATCCCACTAAATAAAATATTCTGCTTTTTCAATGGACATGAAAATAACTCTGTCCCAGAAAGAATCTATCAGCTACATTAGAAATAACACAGTAGGAATTTGAACTCTTCACTATACCCTACCCTGTGCAAATGGATATCACATGGAACGCAGTCCCCTGAGTGATAGAAGAAACCAGCTCTGCCTTGTACCCACTCCCTCTTACACTACATGCTGACTTATAAGATCTTGGAATTCATGCCAGACCTGTACAACAAGGTAATATCGTTGCCATTTCATCTCCATTCTTATGGTTCTGCAGGCTTGAAAAAAAGATGAATTTTGAGTATATTTGTACTTTTTCACTAATTATCCTCTGGATGACAACTAATTATCCTCTGGAAGCATTTTTGACTTTTAATATGCCTCTTATATTTCTGAAGTTTTAATTTGGTATGGTTATCTGGCTTATTTGGAATATGAGTTTTAATTTTGATCTTAATTTTTAAGGAAAAAAATGGTATTTTTCCTAAATTGCCTAAATCATAAGTGATAATTTTAGTTGTGTCCTATGTACTAACCCCTGTTTTCTTTTTAAACTCTTCTTTTCCTTTAGTATTGTTTGAACTTTACCTCCATTGTGGACAGGGTTTTGCCCTAAAATCCTGAGACAATAAAGTAAATGTATCATGGGCTTTTTTTTTTTTAATTCTTACCTAACTTTGAACAGGTGATGGAGAGTGAAGAGTTCATGTTACTCCCAGCCAATCAACTCATTGATATTATATCCAGTGATGAGCTCAATGTTCGCAGTGAAGAACAAGTGTTCAATGCAGTGATGGCCTGGGTCAAATACAGTATTCAAGAAAGACGTCCACAGTTACCCCAGGTAATAATAGAAAGAACACTCCCAGAACTGCTTTGTATAGAAATAACAAAATGCACTTTACTTGCAGAAATGAAACAAGCATCACTCTCTTACATTATGTAACTCATCTAGAGTCATATAAACAAAGTTGTGTAAGAAAGCCTACTATATCCAAATATTAGAGAAGTAAGCATTTAAAGCATTTGGGCTGGTTTTTATTGTGAACTTCTACTATTTTTGTTTTGTTTTATTGATTAGTTCATTGATTGATTGAAGAGTGTCTATTTAGCCCTGAAATTCACTGGTCAGACTGGCCTCCTACTTAGCCAGCTAAATTTATAGGTGTGCACCACCATACCTAGCTCTTCATTGTGAACTTTTTGTTCCTTTTGAGTTAGTTCTACATTTGATCTGTAACCCAGTCAAAACCTGAATCATATAAAGTCACAGGGAAATCAAGAATTCTGCTCTCTATAGTTTAGAAACCATACTACACTTTGATCAGTAAAGAAATAAATTGGGAGCTGGGCACTGGTGGCTCATGCCTGTAATCCTAGCTACTCAGGAGGCTGAGATCTGAGGATCGCAGTTCAAAGCCAGCCCAGGCAAGAAAGTCCGTGATCCTCTTATCTCCAATAAACCGCTCAAAGCCGGAAGTAGCACTGTGGTTCAAGTGGTAGCCTTGAGCTGAAGAGCTGAAGGATAGCAAGCACCCAGGCCCAGAGTTCAAGGCCCATGACCGACAAAAAAGAGGAGGAGGAAGAGGAGGAGGAAGAGAAGGAGGAATAGAAAAAAACGAAGAAAGAGAAAGAAAAGAAAGAAAGAAAGGAAGGAAAGAAAGAGAGAGAGAGAAAGAAAGAGAGAGGGAGGGAGGGAAGGAGGGAGGAAGGGAAGGAAGGAAGGAAGAAAAAAAGAGAGAGGGAGGGAGGGAAGGAAGGAGGAAGGAAAGGAAGGAAGGAAGAGAAAGAAATTGGGGGCTGGGAATGTGGCTTAGTGGTAGAGTGCTTGCCTAGTATGCATGAAGCCCTGGGTTCGATTCCTCAGCACCATACAAAAAGGAAAAGCCAGAAGTGGCTGTGTGGCTCAAGTGGTAGAATGATAGCCTTGAGCAAAAGAAGCTCAGGGACAGTGCTCAGGACTTGAGTTCAAGCCCCACAACTGGCAAAAAAAAAAAAAAAAAGGAAGGGAAGGAAGGGAGGGAGGAAAAGAAAAATTTGGTCATGAGTGGTCTCTGAGTGAAATGTCTAAGGCTCATTTTTATTTTTTTCATTATATTGCCTAAGCTAGTCTTGAATTTAGGATCCTCCTGAGTAACCTTCCAAGTACTGGTATTACTGGCATGTACTACCTGGCTTAAGACTCATTCTTGTTATGACTACAGTAGTCCTCTCCTAATCCACAGGGTGTATGTGCCAAGATATTTGGCAGTGCCCGGAAACCTTCAGATTTTAGATACATATTATACATACCTACCTGTGGTAACTTTAACTTACAAATTAGGCACACTATGAGATTAACAACAATAATAATGATAAATCACAATGATTTGTGGCAGTAGGTTATAGTAAAAGTTATGCAAAACTTATAAATTATTATTTTAATTTTTCATAGTATTTTTGTCAGTCATGGGGCTTGAAAGAACTCTGGGCCTGAACACTATCCCTCAGCTCTTCAGCTGAAGGCGAGTGCTCTACCACTTGAGCCACAGCACCACTTCCAGTTTTCTGAGTGCTTTATTGGAAATAAGAGTCTCTTGGACTTTCCTCCCCAGGCTGGCTTTGAACCTCGATCTTCACAGCTCGGCCTCCTATGTAGCTAGGATTACAAGCGTAAGCACCCGACACCCGGCTCATAGTATTTTTTGATCAAAGTTAACTTCCAGTAAATGAAACCACAAAAAGTAAAATTGCAAGTAACGAGGAGTACTGTATTCTTTAACAGGTTAACAGAGTATTCTTCTGGGTTGTTAATTTGAGTTTAGTTAAGAAAGAGTTTATAGCCAGGCACAGGTGGCTTACGCCTGGAGGCTGAGACCTGAGGTTCAAAGCTAGCCTGGGCAGAAAAGTCCCTGGGAGACTGTTATCTCCAATTAGCCACCAAAAAACCTGAAGTAGTGCTGTGGCTCCAAGTGATGGAGCGCTAGCCTTGAGCAAAAGAGTTTGGAGACAGCGCCCAAGCCCTGAGTTCAAGTCCCATGATCGGAAAAGAAAAAAAAAAGTTGGTAACATTTCTGAAAGCTCAGAATAGCATTCTAAAGGACACTGACATGATTCAATTTTTGAATTCTATATTACTGAATTTGTGATTAGAATAAACAATTTGCTTTCAGTATTTGTATTTTCCATTCTTACTTAATTATGTGTCATGTCCAGTTAGATCCCCAAATACTTAGAAACATAGTATGGGAGCACAAGTCATGCATTCTCTTAACTCTCCTGTGGATGGAACTCTGTCTTTAATAACGCTTATTATCTCCTAGGTGCTGCAGCATGTTCGTTTGCCTTTGCTTAGTCCCAAGTTCCTGGTGGGCACAGTAGGCTCAGATCCCCTCATTAAAAGTGATGAGGAATGCAGGTATGAGTGTCCTTGAAAGAAAAATCAATAAGCATTCCTGTTTTAGTCTTTTTATTGATACTCTATCTAAAATACTGTATTTCTTAGGGCTGAAATCAGACAGTATTTAACAGGTTTTTTTTCTGGGCTAGGGTCAAGAGGAAGAGAAAGAAGTAAGGACTGAATTTCCAGTATTCCGTTCCATTAGTTTTTATGTGTGGTGATTATTGATGTTGAGTGGTAATAAAGAGGTAGATTTCAGGGGCTGGGAAGGTGGCTCAGTGGTAGAGCGTTTGCCTTGCATGCATGAGGCTCTGGGTTCGATTCCTCAGCACCATATAAGCAAAAAGAAAAAAAGCTGGAAGTGGTGCTGTGGCTCAAGTGGTAGAGCGCTAGCCTTGAGCTGAAGAGCTGAGGGACAGCGCCCAGGCCCAGAGTTCAGGCCCCATGAGTGGATCAAAAAAAAAAAAAAATTAAAAAGAGGTAGATTTCAGCCGGGCACGGGTGGCTCATGCCTCTAATCCTTGCTACTCAGGAGGCTAAGATCTGAGAATAGTTCAAAGCCATCCCAGGCTGGAAAGTCCATGAGACTCTTATCTCCAATAAACTACTCAGAAAATGGGAAGTGGTGCTGTGGCTCAAGCAGTAGAGTGCTCACCTTGAGCTGAAGAGCTGAGGGACAGTGTTCAGGCCCAGAGTTCAGACCCCATGACTGACAAAAAAAAAAAGGTAGATTTCTAAGACTTTAATGCAAGCTTCAATTTGAAGAGGCAACTGTCTGGGTTTTTTTGTTTGGTTGTTTTCCCCCTTGAGGTAAGTTAACAATGCTATTCACTGTGTGTCAGTGAGAACTTTTTTTTTTCATCACATATGTCTAGCAAGGACCAGCTTTGCTTTCAAAGACACAGTGAAGCATCTTCCAGTTCTGAGAGACGGCTCACTAACCACTCAGGAAGCTGAGACACTGAGGATTGTGGTTTCAAGCCAGCCCAGGCAAAAAAGTTCTCAAGACCCTATCTCCAATTAACCAAAACAATGATGAGCCGGAGGTGTGGCTTAAGTAAAGCAAGCTGAATAAGTTGTTCAAGCACAAGGCCCCTGAATTCAAGTCCTGACCAAAAAATTACTGTCTCTACATTATACAAAAATATGATAGATTAGTTTTCCAGCTCAAGCCCAAGATAGGCAAAAAAAATTAAATGGAGAAACAAAGTAGTAAATAATGAAAAATATAAAGGAACTTCAACTTCATTTTAAACATTCATTTCTTTCAAAATTGAACAAAAATATGAGAAACAATATCATTAGATAATTTTGAGAATCTCTATGTGAGATTATGAGATTAGTTATGTTAATCACTGTTTTTCTATATGTTTGAAACATTTCATTACTGACAGTGTTATTTAGACATTTAGAATAAGTGCAGAATTTCTTTTCCACAGAGATTTGGTAGATGAGGCTAAAAACTACCTCCTATTGCCTCAAGAACGACCACTAATGCAAGGACCCCGGACGAGACCCCGGAAACCTATCCGATGTGGAGAAGTACTCTTTGCAGGTTTGAGTCTCAATGTATTAGGAATAAGCCATATTTTCTGCATGCTTTCAAAATCATTTGGATAATTTTGTTATCTACCATCATAAAAAATACATCATAAGTCAAAATATGTACCTTGACAAGCATTAATTCATCAGTGGTATTATCTAAGGGAATGCTCTACTTTTATATACATTTAAAAATATCATACACCACAATAAAAAAATTAAATAAATAAAAAATAAAAATATCCTACAGTACTTTGTGGAAAAAATCATATACATTAATTTATATAACAATGTGCTAGTCACTTCATAATTACATGAAGTACCCAGAAGACGTTATCTTAAACAACAATACTTTCTTAGACTTTTCAACTTCAGTTGAACCCAAGACAATGTGCTAAAAAGGCAATATAAATTTGACTAGGTCTACAATCACAAAATGCCATAACCTAGTGTCTTAAGGGGTGGAAATTTATTTTCTTACAGTTCTGGAGGCTAGAAGTCCACACTGAAGCTGCCAGCAGGTTTAGCTTCTGGCGAAGCCTCTTTCTCAGCTTGCAGAGGGTACATTCTCCTGTGTGTCCTCTCATGCTCTTGTCAATGGGCAAAGGTAGAATGAGAGAGTATTCTGGGGTCTCTTCCTCTCACAAGGACACCAGTCCTATCATGTAAGGACGCCACTCGTACAACATCATTTAACATTAGTTTCCTCCTTAAAGGCCCCATTCTAAATACACTTTCAGTGGAGTTTTGGGTTCAATATATGAGTTCTGAAGAAATACAGTGGAGCCCATAATACCCACTTAGTCATCTATTACTGCCTTAGAAATACTAATGCCTCACCATGAGGCAGTGGAACTGAACAAAACTTTTCTTGCTTCCCTAAGTCACAGAAAAGATTGCAGTTTGATTCCCTAGAGATTCCTTTGGTATTACAGAATACCATCTATGAAGTGTTTACTTGATCTGGAGTTGTATAATCTAATAACAGCTGGTTTTAATTACCTTTATTATAAATTGTACCAGAGACTTAATGATTAGGCTATTTGAGTTATCTTAAGAGTGAAAAATGGTCATATTTCCAGCCTGGTTTTATTTTAGAATATAGATGCTTTCCCTGATACTGAACTTCCTTATATACATTGTTACAAAACTCAAATTTGAGCAAATTATGATACACAAAATTTGCTGCAATTTAGTACTAATTGAACTATTAAACTATAATAAAATGAAGTGTATTATGTTGATTTGAAATGAAGAAGGTGAACTTTTAGATCCATCAACCGGATGCTTCAGAATATTCCCCTTTTAGTCTAGTTCAGGAATTTAACCCCTAAAAACTAGTTTTTAAATTTTTTGAAGTTATAATACCCTTGTACTTCATTTTTAAGCTCTATAATCTAGCTTTTAATTTTAATTAATAGAGATTATTTGAAAGAAAAACAAATTTCGCATATCTGCTGTTACCTTCTTTTTTCAATGATCATTCAAGAGAAGCTTGATGGAACTCATTTTGAAGCTGTCACTTTGAATATTACCATATTAGTCTTCTCAGATTGCCATAACAAAATATCACAGGTTAGGTAGGTTAAACAAAAGGAATGTATTTTCTCACAGATAATAGAGGCTAGAAGTCCAAAATACTGGCTCTTGTCCATTCATTTTTCTGGTGACTGTAACTGGTAATTTGCTTGTGGATATTTGGTAAATCCTAGCATGAGGGCTCAGTGAGGTTAGCAGCCAGTGATGTTCTTTAGGAAGGGTTTTCTGTTCTCATTTCTGTTATTTCCTAGTTGGTGGTTGGTGTAGTGGAGATGCCATTTCCAGTGTTGAACGATATGATCCACAGACCAATGAATGGAGAATGGTAGCTTCAATGAGTAAAAGGCGATGTGGAGTTGGGGTCAGTGTTCTTGATGACCTGTTATATGCAGTAGGAGGCCACGATGGATCCTCTTATCTCAACAGTGTTGAAAGGTGAGCGTTTTACATTTTTTTCCATACTTTTCCTATAATGTCATTTAAGATGTTACTTAGGAAACAGATGTGATTTATTGTTTCAATATTACATCTGTGTCACCAGCTGGCAGCCTAGACCATTAACATGACATCAAGTCCTTTATAAACTGACCTCTTATTTTTCTAGTCCCTCTCTCATTGGACACAGCCATCCACTAAACATGCCACTATAGGCACAACTTTCCTGCAGTTCTTTGGATATGCTGCCTTCCATAGCTTTTCCCTTACATGTATGCATGCTGTTCTTTCTTCCCTGGAATATTTCCCCCTAAGGCTTACAAATCCTTCAAGAGTCAAGCTGTTCCTTCCCACATAAATCCTTCTCTGACTGTACAGATGAGTTGCTCATCCCTCTGCTGTTTCCTAAGTATTTTGAACATGCTTGTACATATCAATCACATTGTGATATAACTGTTAAAGTCTCTTTTCGCATCGTACTTGGTGTAGTGAAAATCTGCAGTGACTGAGATAGTTTCTTCTCACATTTTTTTTATTAAGTATGGTAATTTACAGTGTTTCTTGGTATTTCTATAACACACCTTTTGAAACCTGCAGTAGATCAGATTCTAGGTACATAGATGGTATAGCTAAACAAAACAGGAATCAGTTCCATTGAAGTGGGCAAGGTATGCAGGGAGAACAACACTCAAAAATAAACCAATAACTTAAAGACATTATTAAATATTTGTAACTTTAACAATTAAACACACACACACACACACACACACACACATATGGAAAATGCAACTACAGTGGCAATCAGGTAAATTTATGTGAATGTTCTAAAGATGGATTTGAAAAGAAAGATGGGCTGGGAATGTGGCTGAGTGGTACAGTGTACCTAGCATGCATGAAGCCCTGGGTTCGATTCCTCAGTACCACATAAACAGAAAAAGCCAGAAAGTGGCACTGTAGCTCAAATAGTAGAGTGCCAGCCTTGCGCAAAAGAAGCTCAGGGACTGTGTCCAGGCCCTGAGTTCAAGCCCCAGGACTGGCAAAAAATAAGAAAGATGAACATGACTGCTGGGCATGCTAGTGCATGTCTCTGTAACTCCAGCTATTATGAGGCTAAGAAAGAAAGATCTTGAGTTTGAGACCAGCCTGGGCTTCATAGGGAAAATCTGGGAGGGAGGAAAGGAAAGAAAAGAATAATAAAGGTGAATCATGCTTTAAATCAGTGAGGAAAAAGGAAAGGGTAAAACAATGAGGGAAAAAAAACAATTAAGTTTTCAAAAGAAAAATTGGTGTTGCAACAAAAGAGCAATCTGATATGATTTTGATGTTTCTTGTTTTGTTTTTTGTAGTGCTTGGGATCAAACTGAAGGCTTTGTACATGCTAAGCAAGACCCCACCACTGAGCTACACTCCCTCCCAAAACTGATAATCAGCCTAGGACAATTATCAGTAAGAGAATGATTAAGTAATAGATGGCATATAGAATGTAGTAAAATAGTTCAGAGGAAGAGTTTCAAGCTATGTTTCAAGCATATCTGGATCCTAAAAATACATTGCGAAAACAGTGCTTGCTTTGTAATACTATTATGTAAAGAAAACATGCTTGCATATAAAGAAATATGTATAGGTAAACATATATAAGTGAATATAATAGGTATGTATTTTACTGAAAACAATCTAGTAGAGTTTATGTAAAACCAAAATGGGAAGAGATCTGAGTTCAGGTGAAATTCAAAGGAGACCTGAGCCTTATCAATAACATTCTGGCTTTTTTTAAAAGACAGTATATTCATATATATAAATTGTTTAAGTAAAACTAAATTTCAAAAAACAAGAATCAGGGGTTGGGAGCCGGGTGCCAGTAGCTCACAATTCTAATTCTAATTCCTCAGGAAGCTGAGATCTGGAGGATAGAGGCTGGAAGCCAGCCCAGGCACAGAAGTTCACAGCAAAAAGCGAGGCTAGAGATGAAAGTGACTACTGGGCATACCAGTGTATGCCTGTATAATTCCAGCCATCAGGAGGAATTAATAGAGGTGTCAGCAAAGCAAGCAAGTTAAACAAGTGCAACCCTGAGTTCAAACCCTAATATGGCACCCATAAAAGAAGAGGAAGAAGAGCTGGCATGTGGCTCAGTGGTAGAGTGATTTGCCTAGCATATGTGTGGCCCTGGATTCAATCCTCAGCACCAAAAAAAGAATATACACACATACACACCTACACACAATTAGATTGTCCTCTACTTTCATTATTAATCAACCTATTCTTTGGGGAAAGAATATATATTATAGGGCTGGGAAGGTGGCTTAGTGGTAGAGCGCTTGCCTTGCATGCCTGAGGCCCTGGGTTCAATTCCTCAGCACCACATAAGCAAAAAGAAAAAAGCCGGAAGTGGTGCTGTGGCTCAAGTGGTAGAGCACTAGCCTTGAGCTGAAGAGCTGAGGGACAGCGCCCAGGCCCAGAGTTCAGGCCCCACGACTGGACCAAAAAAAAAAAAAAAGAATATATATTATATAAATGCTTTGATTTATATAGTCTGTTTTCTATTATGTAATATAACCTCTGCTCTTGATGTGTTTTTTTGCAGATATGACCCCAAAACAAACCAGTGGAGTAGTGACGTGGCCCCTACAAGCACCTGCAGGACCAGTGTCGGTGTAGCAGTGCTTGGAGGCTTTCTCTATGCTGTGGGTGGCCAGGATGGTGTTTCTTGCCTCAACATTGTTGAGAGGTGATTTTTTTAAACTTTTTTTTTTAAGGCCATACAGGAATTTAGGTTTTGAGACATGATCTCACTCTGTAGCCCAACACTTCAATTTCATTCTCCTGTGTACTGGGATTACAGGAGCATGTGCCATACCCAGGTTATGGTTCTTTAAAATCAGCAGTTATGGCCAGGCACCAGTGGCTCATGCCTGAGCTCAGGCTCAGGAGGCTGAGATCTAAGGATCACAGTTCAAAGCCAGTCTGGGCAAGAAAGCTCATAAGACTCTTTTCTCTAATTGAATTACAGAAAAAGCCAGAAGTGGCACTATTGCTCAAGTGGTAGAGTGCTAGCCTTGAGCAAAAGGAGCTCAAGGACAGTGCCTAGCTCCAGAGTTCAAGCCTCAGGACTGGCAAATAAAAAAATCAACAATGGGCTGGGAATGTGGCCTAGTGGTAGAGTGCTTGCCTACCATGCATGAAGCCTTGGGTTCGATTCCTCAGTACTACATAAACAGAAAAATCCGGAAGTGGCACTGTGGCTCAAGTGGTAGAATGCTAGCCTTGAGCAAAAGAAGCTCAGGGACAGTGGCCAGGCCCTGAGTTCAAGCCCCAGGACTGGCAAAAAAAAAAAAATCAACAGTTACAGCTGAATTTAGGACAGTAAAAGGTCTCCTACTCAATGGATTTCTCATATACTTTCAGGAAAAATTTATAGCTAATCTTAAAATCTAGAAGTAAAGATTTTTTAAATCTTTAATTTCTTTTTAGTTGACTGTTTATTATGGTGAGCAACATGTGTGAAGTATGTAATCCTTATAGAATGGTTAAATTAATGTTTGTATTACCTCACATACTTACACTTTTGTAGTAAATACTCTTAAAGTCTACTCTCATAGCAGTTTTCAGTGCACATTTGTTAATAACTGTGTCATCATATTGTACATTAGAGCTCTGAAACTTATTCCTGAAGCTTTATATGCTTTAACCAGAATCTCCCTGATCTTGCCTAGTAGAGAGACAGCCCAGTAGAGAATAGAGACTATTCTATAACTTAAACCTTTTTAGATTCCACATGTAAGGTTGTACATGTAAGATTCCACACGTAAGATTGTACAGGATTTTACCTTCCATGTCTGGCTTATTTCACTTAATGTAATAGACTCCAGGTTGTCACAAAAGGCAAGATTTTTGCCTTTTTTAAAGTTTGAATAGGTGTGTGTGTGTGTGTGTGTGTGTGTGTGTGTGTGTGTGTGTGTGTGTGTGTGTGTGTGTGTGTGTGAGAGAGAGAGAGAGAGAGAGAGAGAGAGAGCGAGAGAGAGATTTTTTTAATTAAGTCTTTGTGATTTCAACCTTATGGAAACAATGTCAGTTAATAAGCACATGGTGTCTCATTGCAGGTATGACCCAAAGGAGAACAAATGGACTCGGGTGGCTTCTATGAGCACTAGAAGACTAGGCGTGGCTGTGGCTGTATTGGGAGGGTTCTTATATGCTGTAGGTGGTTCCGATGGGACATCTCCACTCAACACAGGTTAGTCCCTCCCAAAGTCTGCCTGGTCTCCCAAAGCAACACATTTTTCTGAGGATACTCTCCCTACAAAAAGTAAGAAGTTCAGTTTATCCAATAATAAAAATGCTTTCTTTTCTCTCTAGAAGAGTGCAACTTCTCTGCAGTCATACTCTTCTAGCACATTCCCCAAATATCTTTCTCTTCTGCTTCATAAAGTTACTATAAATTTAGGGTGAATAAAGATCTGCTTCTGAATATTTCTGCCCACAATCACCAGCTCTCCTCAAAGAGAAAGACAGAGACAGAGAATTATTTAATCTGAGAGTAAACCAAAACTTGAAACAAGATACAGGTTTGTTAGTCCTTTCTATTTTAATAACAGTTTTTCCCTAAGGATATTCTCAATGTGGAACTGGCATCAGAGTCATACATCTTGTCACATATCTTATTTGGTTTTCAATAACTTAAAACTGTACTAGGTTATAGGCAAATAAATACAAAGAAGAGAGTTGTCTGATTATAACAACGGTGTATTGGTACTGAACATATAATCCAGGCACTGGATTATATGCTAAAGAGTGTGAGGCTGTAGTTTATGTAGCTAATTAATCATCCAGCCAAAGGTAGAACTCTCTAGCACATGTCCTCTACCATAAGACACCTAGAAAACATTTTCTTGATGAGTGTATATGTGGCATTTTCTAAAGGTATACAAGTCCTTCTTAAAAGCAAAAAACAAATGGCTTATTAAAAATACATTACCACAATTTCGGTGGCTATGAAGAAAACAAGAGGTGAGAAGAGCTGGTTGAACGGTCACTTCTTGCTCTTTCTTTTTACTACAGTGGAGCGCTACAATCCTCAGGAAAACAGATGGCACACCATCGCCCCTATGGGCACTCGGAGGAAGCACCTAGGCTGTGCCGTGTATCAGGACATGATCTATGCCGTAGGAGGGAGAGATGACACCACAGAGCTCAGCAGCGCCGAGAGATACAACCCCAGAACCAACCAGTGGTCTCCAGTGGTGGCCATGACATCTCGCCGTAGTGGAGTAAGTGCTCAGCTACTGAGAGCTTTAACTCTGAAAAACAGGCACTGAGGAGTCCTGGCAGAAGGAATCTGAAATAGAGTGTGCTAGAATAGTGAGGAGGTGAACCGTGTTATTTTGTCAGTTGTCTTAGCTGTGCTGCTGGGACACATTTAAGCAAGACAGTCCTCGCTAAATTTATACTAGAAAAATCAGACTGACTTTATTGCTTTTAACTCCAGTAGTTAAATGTCTTATATCCATTTATATCTTTAATTAAATAGTTAATTTTTTAGTTATCTTGTGTCCTAGACTTCTCTGGAAGGCATTTTCTTACACGTCACCTAATTAACTTCATATCTATTAAGCTAAATATTCTTAGAAAACTTTTCTAGTGGGTGAGATTCATTGGAACATATAAACATGGAAATGTAACAAGGAACCTATGCATAACTAATGTACGCTAATAAAAATGTTTTTAAAAACATTTCTAGCTAAAGCTGGGTTCCGATGGCTAACACCTGTAATCCTAGCTACTCAGGAGGCTGATATCTAAGGATTGCAGTTCAGATCCAGCCCGGGCAGGAAACTCGGTGAGACTCTTATTTCCAGTAAACTACCAGAAAACCAGAAGTGGCACTGTGGCTCAGGTGTTAGAGCACTAGCCTTGAGCTGAAAAGCTGAGGGACAATGCCCAGGCCCAGAGTTCAAGCCCTATGACCGACAAAATTGTATACTTATACAAATGTTTAGGCAAACACCTAACTGGCCCCTCTACCAGACTTCACAGACTGGCTTATCATTTACATATAGACCATATTTGACTAACCTTTGTCATACTGTGGACCGTGACTGACCGGTACCCACAAGAGACTTCCAGCATGGAGCATATAATTCAGCTCAGTGAAATGCAACCCTAGAACAATTGGCTTAGTGAGGTTTCGGGTGCCCCTCTTTGTAGGACATGTCCACAACAAGAAAGAAGGGAGCAGATCTGTACCCAAAGCCTCCATGAGGATAACAGGGAATATATTCTGCATTGCATAAACCAAGGAACGCCACTGGAAGGTATCAGCAAGTCAAAGCAGTTACATATATGTGGCTTTTTAATCACTCTAGTCAATTCTTGGTCATATTCCCAATATTTTTACCGCTACATCCTGTTGATGATATTTTCACTTGTTTATTAAGTATTTATTTAAGTGCTGTTCTGAGAAAACAAAAATGAGTATGATATGGTTTCCCTCCTCAAGTAGCTCCCAGTTTAGTCAAACTGATAGTAAATAACCACAGAAGTGGCACGTGTATACGGAAGAACATGAGCAGGTGTGCTCAGTGCTTTGGAAATAAGAGGGAACAACCTACCAGAGACAGTTACATGCATGCTAGGTCAGGAAGGAAGAATATGGTTTTTAGAAGAGGAACAGAAAACAACCTGCCAAGGAACATGTTCAGAAGCATGAAGTATGAAAAAATGTGTGGTATTTTAGGCTGGCAGTCAATCCAGCTCTACTGCTGCATTGAGTAAGTTAAGAGAAGAAGGGAAAATGTAGGAAGTGAGGCTAAACTGGTGGCCTCTAACAGATTTCTGAAAAGCATGAATAATGTTAAGGACTTCAGTCTTAAGCTTTAGGCAAGAGAGAGGCAAAGAGTAGTGACATCATGGTTAGATTTGTATTTTGTTTTGTTTTTGTCAGTCCTGGGGCTTAAACTCTCAGCCTGAGCACTGTCCCTGATCCAGTCTGTGCTCAAGGCTAGCACTCTACCACTTGAGCTTGAGCCATAGCACCACTTGGGCTTTTTCTGTATATGTGGTGCTGAGGAATTGAACCCAGGACTTCATGCATGCTAGGCAAGCACTCTACCACTAAGCCACATTCCCAGTCCTAGATTTGTATTTTAAAAGAGAATTTTAGTAGCAAGTTAGAAAGTGGATTTGAGTGTATTTTAAAAATTCCCTTTGGATTTAAAAAAATATTTTCTTTAGGTAGTTGTACAAAGGAGTTTCCATTCAACAGAGCAGTCTATGAATACAATGTCTCTTGATTAATGTCACCCTTTTAACATTCTCATACCTACCTCTCTCAACCCAGCCATTCCCTCGTTTTTTAATATTTTTTTTTCAGTCACGGGTCTTAAATTCTGAGCCTGGGCACTGTCCCTCAGCTCTTCAGCTCAAGGCGAGCACTCTAACACTTGAGCCACACTACCACTTCCGGTTTTCTGGTGGTAAGTTGAAGATAAGAGTCTCTATAGACTTTACTGTCTGGGCTGGCTTTGAACCGTGATCCTAAGATCTCACCCTCCTGAGTAGCTAGAATTACAGGTGTGAGCCACTGGCACCTGGCTCATTTTTCTTATTTTTTAGGTTATGTATTAGAATTTTTTGCTATTTACCAAAGCAGTTTATGTATATTGTGTATTTTTGATCTGGGTTATCCCTTCAACTTCTTCTCCCCGCTTCTACCTACTGTTTTCCTTACTTTTCTTAGTTCTGTGTTATATACAATGCATGCTTGCCTGCATCCTACTTATTTCCCCCACTTATTCTACCTCTTTACCCCTCCTCCATTGCAAGTACCCATTTCCTAGTACTCATTTTGTTAGGCTTTGACTTCATCTTTCTAAAGAATTATACTGTGTGCATCCTCCATATTTCAATGCCATCCAGTGTGTTTACTTCTAGATTTATAGGCACATTCTTACTCCTGCTAATGAGGGAAACAATGTCACATGTGTTTCTCTGGGTCTAGCTTACTTCATTTAACATAATCCCCTCCAAGTCTTTCCATTTCCTTACAAATGGTGTCATTCTTTAATGGATGAGTAGAAATCTACACTTTCATGGTCCATTCCTCCACTGAGGAGCATCTGGGTTGATTCCATATCTTGGCTATGGTAGATAATGCTGCAATGAACATGGTTGTGGTGGCTTTGGTGGATCCTTGTTTGTGCTCTATGGGATAAATGCCCAGAAGTGGTTATAGGGAAGCTCTATGTTTAGATTTTTGAGGACCCTCCATTCTGTTTTCCAGAGTGGTTGAACAAGTTTGCATTCCAACTAACAGTGTTGCATGCTACCATTTGTTATTGTTAGTTTTCTTGATAATGGCCATTCTAACAGTGGTGAAATAGAATTGCAGTATTTTGATTTGCATTTCCTTTATGGGCAGAGATCTTGAGCATTTTTTCATGTGTCTTTTGGTCATATTTACTTCTTCTGAGAAGTCTCTCTTTAGGTCATTAGCCCACTTATTAATTGGATTGTTGTTTCTTTGAGGTTTTTTTTTTTCATGATCTTGATATTTTCTTTTCTTGCATTTTTTATTGTTATTGTAAAGGTGATATACAAAGGGGTTAGTTAAATAAGTCAGATAGAGAGTACATTCCTTTTTGAACAGTGTCACTCTTTCCCTTGCTGTTTTTCCTTCCTATCCCCATCTACAAGTTGTATAGTTCATTTTCAACATAGTGTCTAATGAATAACACTACTGCATTCGTTCACCCTTTGTCCCACCATTTCTGTGTCCCTCCTTGCTTTTCCAAAGACAGATAAATGAACCAATAATACAAAAGGAAAACAAAAACAGAAACAAGGGGAAAAAACCCCTCTTGTTTCCATTTCCTGGAGTTCATGTTGATAAATACTATTTTCTACGATCAGATTCACACAAAGTGAGACCAAAGGAGTTTTATTTTTTGAGGATTCAATTTGAGCTCTAAGTATAGTTTGGATATCAGGCCCTTGTCTGATGCATAGCTGGTAAAAAATCTCCCATTCTGTGATCTATTTAGCTTGTTAGCTATGTCCTTTGCTGTGCAGAAACTTTTGATATAGTCCCATTTATCAATTCTTTGATTTGTTGTGTTTCTGGATTTTTACTTAGAAAGTTTTGACCTGTACCCAGTAGCTCTAGTGTTTCCCCTACCCTTTCCTGTAAAAGTTTCATAGTTTCTGGATTCATATTGAAGACTGTGATCCATTTTGAATTGATGCTGATCCAAGGTGATCTATGGGTATCTAGTTTCAGTTTTCTACACATGGATATCCAGTTTTGCCAGCAGCATTTGTTGAAGAGGCTATCTTTCTTCCAGATTATATTTTTGGCTCCTTTATCAAATATTAGATGGCTATAGGTGTGTGGGTTCATTTCTGGATCTTTTATTCTGTCCCATTGGTCCTCAGGCCTATTTTTGTACCAGTACCAGTGGGTACTAACTCTCTAACTGTAAGAGTTTAGTGATTGGTATTGTTATTCTTCCAATACTGTTCTGCCTGCTAAGGATTGCTCTTGCTATTTGGGGTCTTTTGTTATTCCATATGAATTTTTGGATTGCTTTATCTCTTTTGTTGTTGGGATTTTGATGAATATTGCATTGGAATTTTGTGTATATACTGTGATTGAATTGAATAATTCTCATATTTCATGGGCTTTTGTTGTTACTTTCTTCCTCTGTGCTCAAGTAAGCCAGAATGCTATAAAGAATTAAATCAATTTGTCTTGGAGCCATGTCAAATTCCCCAGTATTTATCTTGACTCTTCAGCAGCCATTGTGCTCTGGTCTTTCAGGTTGGCCTGGCCGTGGTCAATGGACAGCTCATGGCAGTAGGAGGATTCGATGGCACAACATACTTGAAGACCATTGAGGTTTTTGATCCTGATGCCAATACGTGGAGGTAACCTTGCTATGCTGCAAACCTCCTCACTATTGACTTGCAATCTTGAGCTTGAGCTAGCTCATAACCATCCACATGGAGATGGTCTGTGCACTGACATCTCTCTTATAGTGCTTTGAAGTAGTCTAAAGTAACTCAGATTTGGTAGCTTATTTGACTTGAATGTTCTGAAGTGACTGATACCTTACAGAATAAGAAAAACCGGGGGGGGGGGGGAGTTGGGGGAGGAGGAGAGGGGAGGCGAAGTCCCTTCTATCCCAATTATTTAAGCTGAGGAAACAGTAGCATTGAGGAAAATGTTTGTTTTTAAGTTGGAAAATCTGATTTAGTTTTTATCTTTGCAGGTTATATGGCGGAATGAATTACCGTCGGCTGGGAGGTGGTGTAGGAGTCATTAAAATGACACATTGTGAATCTCACATATGGTGAGCATGTGGAAGAAAGTCTTGCATATGCTCCTCTATATTCAGAAGAGCTTGACTTTGGAGCTTTAAACAGCTTGAGAAAACATTAGAACAAATTTTATTCTTTGCTGGTGCCTCAACATATGGAAATACAAAGTTCATGATAGTACTTCACCTGCAAGATGCCACCTTTGCACAATAATTTTCCACTCCATGCAGAATATTTATTTTGAGTTTTAACTTATCATGATGTTTTAGTTTATTTTAGCTTGGGTTCTTTGTAGATTTTTTTTTTATGTTGTTTTGTCTTCTTCCTCCCATGAAAAAAAGACAAAAAAATTCCAAGTACCAAAATTTACTTTGTTTTTAAGATGTTGATTTAATTTTGAAAGTGCTGGTAAGGGCATACTATGTTTGATCTGGTTGGTATTGCTACAAGACACTCCATCCATAGGATTCCACTCCATAAGGACTGCTAATAATGAACACAGGTCTACAATGCTAGCCTATCTTCTTTCTTACACTAAGTACCAGAAGACTTGAAACTCTACAAGAAGCAAAAACAAACACAGAAACAACTCATTAAGTAGTACAATTCAAAAGGAATACTACATCAATAAAAGCAGGACTCTGATGCAACAATTTTTTGTCAGTGGGTCATATTGTCTCCTACATGAACTTGTTTTCCAGTCTTTCATCTTTTAAAAACTAATACTGTTCTCATGGACTTTCTGCTAGATCTATCTAGACCATCGCTCAGTGCCTCTTATAAAAACAATTATGAGTCTCCTTCACTGTCTTGAGAATCTCCAAGTGGAATCATGTGCAACTCTGCAAGTTACTGCTCACAAATATTACTGCCTGCAGCAACCAAGGACCAGCGGGGAGAAGTATTCTCCTTGGCAGGAAGCTCTGTGCTACAGTTTAACTCCGTGCTCAGGCCTGGTGAAGCTAGACCACGCCGTTATTAACAGCCTCCCCAACAATGAAGTCTGCAGTCCATGTTAATGCTTGTAACACCAGCTGAGGCATGTCATCAGTACCTGAATTCTGTGCAAGCCGTATGTCACTATCTTCATTCTGTAAGGCCACTGTTACTGTTTCTCTCACATTGCACTTTCTGATGAGAAGTTAAAATTTTTAAGGAAGTAAATGATCATTTTTAGCTTTCTTTTTCCTCATTATAGTCATGTCCAATTTTTTCAGTATATTTTTGCAGGAAAACCTTTGAATGAGACTTTAACTGCAACCAAAAGGAATAGCCTCCACCTTCTCCCTCTCCCAATAACAAAAATGCGTGGCAACTTTTGTGTTTACATTTAAAGATCATTTGCACCTTTTTCAAGGAAAAAAATAAGTATTTGGTAAACAATTGTTTACATGTATCATTTATGCTTTTTTTCTAGCATGTATAACTTTTTTAAATAAAGGTAGCATTTACCACTAATTTTTTGATTGCTTTTTATGTTTGTACCTTTGCTATGTACTTTGGTTTTTCTGGTTTACATTATATATATTCTATATTAACCTACAAATGTTTCCTGCATTTAGAATCATGTAATTTTGAGCTGAAAGGATTAGCCATCTAACTCAAACCCACCTGTTATACTTGTCTAAGTCTGAAAACCAGGAAAGTCTGCCTAAAATTAGGTAATGATAGAAGTGACATTAGACATTAAGTATCAGTTTCCCAAACTCCCACTCCATTTCTGTTACGCTGCCATTGTAAGTTTAACTGAAGCATGGCCTGGAAGCAAAATAGACTAACACTCTGCTGTAATATGGATAGGAAATGTCCCTTAGAGGCCCATGTGTTAAAGACTTAGTCTCTAGCTCATTGCTCTATTAATTAGGAGGTGATGGAACCTGTAGGAAGTAGGGCCTGGGCTGGGAATGTGGTTTAGTGGTAGGAGTGCTTGCCTAGCATGCATGAAGCTCTGGGTTCAATTCCTCAGTACCACATACACAGAAAAAGCCGGAAGTGGCACTGTGGCTCAAGTGTGCTAGCCTTGAGCAAAAAGAAGCTTAGGGACAGTACTCAGGCCCTGAGTTCAAGCCTCAGGACTAGCAAAAAAAAAAAAAAAAAAAAGTAGGGCCTAGCTACCTAGGAGGAGGGGATTGGGAAATCATAGTTTGCGTCCAGCTCCTGCAAAAAATTCTTGAAATTCCATCTTAACCAACAGTTGGGTGCTTATAGCTATCCTGCTATCCTAGCATGAGGGAAGCAAAAGTAGGAAGATTGTAGCCTAGGATTACCTGGACAAATTGAGACTCTCCTATGGAAATAACCAATGCAAAAAGGGACTGGAAGCAAGGTGATAGTTGTATATATTTGAAGGAAAAGAAAAAAAATGTTAACCAAAGTTCTAAGGATTAAGCTGTTAGGAAGTCCTCAGAAGGAGCAATTCATATGGCAGTGATTGCATGGGCAGGAATATAGCTTAGGGTAAAGCCCCTAGTATGATTGGATCCTCCACCCCAAATTTAATAAACCCAGAGGTACAGTGCTGACCTAAGGGTTTTTGGTTTTGTTTTCTTCTACTGAAAACACACGCTAGGTTTACTGTGACTGAAAGGTACCCTTAACTGGTATTGCCATTTTTTTATGCAGAGTGATATCCACAACTCTAAAGTATGGAGGTTGGACTGGCATTCATTTATAAGTAAGTCTACTGAGCTGGGTGCCGGGGGGCTCACGCCTGTAGTCCTAGCTACTCTGGAGGCTGAGATCTGAGAATCCTGGTTCAAAGTCAGCCTGGGGAGGGAAAGCCCATGAGACTCTTCAGTTAACCACCAGAAAACTGGAAGTGGTGCTGTGGCTCAAGAGGCAGAGCACTTGCCTTGAGCTGAGGAGCTAAGGACAGCGCCCAGGCCCAGAGTTCAAGACCCACGACTGACAAAAAAATAAGTCTACCGAAGCTTAAAAAAGTTTAAATGACACGGTAGGAGCTGGACCTACAATCCTTGTCACCTGCCCCTCTATGTGCTGTCCACATTCCTATCTCTGGTATGATTGTTTTCCCACTTTCCATGTTTTGCTTCTTCTATGAACGAAGGCTTGGGTCTGAGTGACACCTGCCCCAGCCTCTCAGTCACTGCTGCCCTGACCAGTCAGTCATAGGGGATCCAGCAGCTGCCGCACAAGGAGGCCTCAAGCCAAAAAACTCAAAAGCTAAAGCAGGCCATAGAAATAGGCTCTAATTGGACAGCACTGCCAACTGAGGGAGAAAGAATTTAAAAGCAAGGAAGCTGTGGCACTGGGATCCCAAGGCAGTCACAGCAGTTGGTGAAGACTACGGGAGGAAGGAACATCCTCCAGACCTACTCTGGGCAGAACTGAGACGAAGTCCTGGATGACTCCTTGGCCTTTGAGTGTAACGTGCAGCCAGAAACCCATGAGAACAATCACATAAATTGATGAGAGAAGCGCTGTGCCATGAGTTGGCATGGAATATGGAGTGTTAACAAAATGTGACTCTGTTCTTGGGGGGGGGGGGGGGGGGGACATTACTTCTGTATGCTATAGTGTGTAAAACTTTTTACATAGTAGCAAATCTAGCTTCTTTGTGTACAAATGTAGGCTCATTCAGGTTTCATCTTTGTACCTCATTTCTTTGGGATTTAATGAGTGTTGTCTTTTCATATGTCTTTTAGATCAAGAAACATGTATTAATGTTGACTTTTTCTCTTTTAGATCTCATAGGAACAAACAAAACAATTGCAGTTCTTTGAAGAAAGTGCTACATGACACTTCTATTTATGTCCCTTAGGTCAGAACTTACTCATATGATTATCCCTATCAAAGGCTGGGAAAATGTCATCTCTCCTCTGGCAGCCAGGTGCTTCAGTCAAACCATAGAAGTGTCTGTTGCGTTCCCTCCTGAGTTTCACCTAGTACCACTCCATCCTCCCTTACTGTGCTCCAACCACACATACACTTCCTTGCTCCTCAGTGAGCCAAACTCTTACCTGTCTCAAGGCCCTTCTACTTGTGTTCCACCTCCTCAAATTTTCATATGGCAAATTTCTGCATCATTCAGGACCCAGCTCCAGTGTTCTTGCTTTGCTACTGCAAGTGAAGCATGCCCTACCTCAGACATCACTTTTCCTATTGCACTGCCTGATTTTCTTCACAGCACTTTGTCTCCATCTGAAAGTATGCAGTTATAGAATTATATTCATTCAACAGAATGTAATTCCTACAGGACCAGAACCTGTAGGATTATCCCTACTGACCAATGCTTAATATTACCTGGATGAATGTCTGACTCTAAAAACCACAATTTTTCCCAATATCTGTTTCTAGTATATTTGAAATCCCATTCCAAAAATTAATCTTTGCTTCCAGAATAAGCCCATTATAAGCAATTTCAAACAAGATGTTAATTTAAAAAAAACACTTCTAAAATAAAACAGAATTTTATGCTCAATAAGTAAAAGGAGATTTAGATGTAACATGGACAAATCTCTTATACAAGTCTCTTAGATTACACATCTCTATGACCTGGGAATATGGCTTATTGTAGACTGCTTGCCTAGCATGCATGAAGCCCTGGGTTCAATTCCTTAGTTCCACATAAACAGAAAAAGCTGGAAGTGGTGCTGTGGCTCACGTGGATAGGCTCTAGCCTTGAGTAAAAAGAGGCTCAGGGACAGTGTCCAGGCAGAGTTCAAGCCCCAGGACTGGCAAAAATAAAATAAAAAATTCATCTCTAAAATGGAAGTTGACTACATATATTTAAAAGCACTATGGTAACTGGGCACTGGTGGCTCACGCTTGTAATCCTAACTCAAGAGGCTGAGATCTGAGGATTGCGGTTCAAAGCCAGCCCAAGCAGGAAAGTCCATGAAACTTTTATCTCCAATAAACCACCAGAAAACCGGAAGTGGTGCTGTAGCTCAAGTGGTAAAGCACTAGCCTTGAACTGAAGAGCTGAAGGACAGTGCTCAGGCCCAGAGTTCAAGCCCCACGACCGACAAAAAATAAATAAAAGCACGATAGTAACTAGGACATGAAGGTTGTTCCTGTTTTGTTTGCCTTTTGGTGACACTAGGGATTGAACTCAAGAGCTCTGCACATACTAGGTTGACACTTTACCAAAGGAGTCATAACTCCAGCTTCTCTTTGCTCTGGTTATGTTTGCGATAGTTTTGTTTCTGCCTAGGCCAACCTGGACCATGATTCCCCACTAGTTACATTTCCCAGCATGACAGGTATATGCTAGCCCTCCCAGCTTTTTCTGTTGAGATGGGTCTCATGAACTTTTTTGTCTGGGATGGCGTTGAACATCAATCCTGATCTCACCCTCCTACGCAGCTAACATTGAGGTACAATATGCTCACTTCCCACTCTACAATTCGTGTACAATTTGTATTTAATTACTGGTGAGTATCCTTTGTGCTAGAGGAAAAGCCTAATTGGTCAGATGTGGTGGCTACTCAGAAGATACACATAGGAAAATCTCAAGTTCAAAGCCAGCCACTAGCTGAAAGCACAAGACCCTATCTAAAAAAGAAACAACTGGGCTGGGAATGTGGCTTAGTGGTAGAGTGCTTGCCCTGCATGCATAAAGCCCTGGGTTAGATTCCACAGTACCACATAAACAGAAAAAGCCTGAATGGTGCTGTGGCTCAAGTGGTAGAGTGCTGCCTTGAGTGAAAAAAGCTCAGGGACTGTGCCCAGGCCCTGAGTTCAAGCCCTGGGACTGGCAAACAACTAAAGAAAAAAGTACTGGGGGTGGGTATGGCTTAAGTGGTAGAGTTCTTGCCAGGCAAGCTTAAGGTCTATAAATACAACCATAAATAAAACAATTTTTAAAAACCATAAATAAGGGGCTGGGAAGGTGGCTCAGTGGTAGAGTGCTAGCCTTGCATGCATGAGGCCCTGGGTTCGATTCCTCAGCACCACATAAGCAAAAAGAAAAAAGCCTGAAGTGGCACTGTGGCTCAAGTGGTAGAGTGCTAGCCTTGAGCTGAAGAGCTGAGGGACAGCACCCAGGCCCAGAGTTCAGGCCCCATGACAGGACCCCCCCAAAAAAAACAAACCATAAATAACCATAAATAAAACAATTAAAAAAAAAACAACACATCATTCAACACCAACCTTGAGCACCCACACCCCTCACCAGGTCCCCCCGACCCCGGGAAAAAAACATTAAGACACTGAGGAAGAGCTGGGCATCAGTGGCTCACGCCTGTAACCCTAGCTACTCAGGAGACTAAAAGGATTGCAATTCAAAGCCAGCCTGGACAGGAAAGTCCATGAGACTCTTATCTCCAATTAACCAGAAAACTGGCTCAAAAGGTAGAGTGCTCCCCTTGAACTGAAGAGCTGAGGGGATAGCGCCCAAGCCCAGAGTTTAAGACCCATGACTGACCCCATAAAAATGACACTGAGGAAGATTAAGAAGTGTGGCTCAGCAGTAGAGTACCTGACTAGCAAGC